CATGTCTGATCAACATCTTTATATGTGACGGCTTCAAAACATCACAATTAGTGAGTATTTTATATTTGTACTGTTATATACCACATAAAATTTATCAGGTTCGACATATACTCCTATGACAAACATGTTTGTGTATTAATTTACAAGTCAATATATTTGTTGACTTATTTACAAATATTTTGCTATGACGTATATGAGGTTATATAGTACTTGGCAATAATAAACTATTGTACTTGTTGAACTGTAATAAACTTTTAGGCATGCTATCATGGAAGCCATGAAAAGCAGCATTTATATACTTAAGTGAATCAATTATTAGTTGGTTCATATTCATATCTGCACAAACAAAGAAATATTAATACATAGTAACAAATTCATAAAATATATGAAATTAAAAAGACACGAGGGCTTATTGGAAGCTAAGTTAATATATTTTTAATTGGAATTGTAATGTGTTTTTTTGTAAACTCTGTTTCAACTTTGTATTATTGATTTTATAAAACAATGACCTTTAGGCAATAAGTCATTGACATTTGCAATATTGTACATTTCCGTACTTATTATTAGCTAAGAAATAAATCAACAATACAATGTTTTTTGTTTAAACTTATTTTTTCCAACTGAAAATGGAAGAAAAATTATTGAGCCGCATCACAACAAAACCAACATAGTGCATTTGTGACCAGCATGGATCCAGACTAGCCTGTGCATCCGCGCAGTCTGATCAGGATCAATGCTGTTCACTATCAGTTTCTCTACTTGTAATAGAGTTGGTAAGCAAACAGCATGGATCCTGATCAGACTGCGCGGCTAAATTAATGTCAACAATGATTTCTCCTAAAGACACTGTTAAACAACTAATATGCTATCCGAAATATTAGCCCCTGCATATTTGAAAAGAAAACATAGACTATGTATGTCTTTTAACCATTTTGTCTTAATTGTGGTTAAATATGGAACATATTATGCTTTAATACATCAGAATTAAAGTCATCAAAGTGTTGAAAAGGGAATCATTTTTTGAACAATTGTCATATACAAATTTGAACACAATATTAAGCAGTTTACACTAAGGCATATGCAATGTTTACTATTGAACAAATACAAAAATAAAGAAAAAAAAATAACTAGCACCTTTACATCAACAAAAGTAAAAAATATTGGACTAATATTTAAAAGCATAAATTAAGCAAAAATCTTGTTTAATATCCTAACCGTAAAATGTAAAAAGTAGTTTTAATTAAACTAAAAAGGTAATGTTCATTCTCAATCATAAGACGCATTTTTGGCCATCCTGAATTTGCTTCAAAGTAGAGACTGTGTCTTATAAGCGTGACCTAATATGGATACTGAAGAAATGCTGACTATTTCATTTTGAGGCAGTATATAGACATGCTCAATCATTACTTATCAGCTACTGCCATCATTTAAAGTAATCTTCTTAAGAAAGAATTTGCTCAAAAGAATTTCATTAATAAGTAATGTCAAAATTTTATTATGATGATATCTAAAATATTGCTTGTTGGTGTTTCTTGGTGTTTCTTTTCAGGCACATCTTGCACCTTAGTATAATCATTAACCTGCTAGAAGCTTTAGTAATACCTTAATAGAATTCACAGACACAATATGGGAGTGGTTTTAAGTCAGCCACCCTGACAAGGGCCTGAGCCAAAAATCAATTGTTACAATCTATTTCTGGGCAGAAATGAGTTCATCAGTCATTTATGCAATGTATTCAAAGCATTATCAAATACATCACCTCTATAAAACTACTGATACCTTATGTTGATAAACTAAAATTTAGGTAACATTGAAATAATAGCACAATCATCGATCCTAAAAGCTCACCCTGAGCATGCTCAGGTGAGCTAAAAAATAAATAATAATAAAAGCAAAAGCAATGTCATTCAACTGTTTACAATTTCACGTCACCAAGTCTCTTAGCTTACACAAGCATATGAGCATAACTTTATCAAAACATACTGAATGATCTTAGCCTATGTATGAAATTACAAATACATACAAAAATATTACTGTTGATCATGGAAAATAAGCATATACACTTATAATGATTTAGTGAAGAATGTCTTATATTGTAGTAGGGCAATGTACAAATCTGTCAAATTTTGCTGATATTTACATACATAATATATTATATCTTGTTTCAGATGATATTTCTTGTGCATGTGTATAATATTACACAATATTTAGTGTTTAATCTTGGAATGATGAATATATACTCGGAGATATTTATTTGTTTGTCAATATATGGACTATCTCACTAACAAAAGAGATTTGTTTAAAAGAATAGTGAGGAAAAATATTTTTTTTAAAAAATTGTGAGATTTATGCCATATTCACTAAAATGAATCAAATTTGTAACTTACATCACATTATTTGAGCCGCGTCACGGCAAAACCAACATAATGGGTTTGCGACCAGCATGGATCCAGACCAGCCTGCGCATTTGCGCAGTCCGATCAGGATCCATGCTGTTTGCTTACAAACCCTATAACAAGTAGAGAAACTGATAGCAAACAGCATGGATCCTGATCAGACTGCGCGGATGCGCAGGCTGGTCTGGATCTATGCTGGTCGCTAACCCATTATGTTGGTTTTGTCGTGATGCGGCTCATTTAGTTTTTCCCTTTAGATAGTCAGATGTTGCATATCATATCCATGATGTAATGAAAATCTTTGTCTGTAAAACAATCTTCATTATATATATATTTGAATGTATAGAATCAAACTTCAATATATCATCCTCGGGTCCTAACAGTGAGATATGATTTATATTTCATTGATATTTTCAATATCTCATTACAAATCACAATGTATGGTCAAACTTACTAAATATTATTTTCCATCCAATAAGATGTTATTTTAACTCTGACCAACTTTGTCAATGGCATAACAAATACTTACTTATGAAGCTTTTAAATGGCAAGATTTTTGTAGCTTTTGTCACATAGATGCATACATGTATATTAAAGTTCTCAACATATAAGCAAACCACTATAAAAATGTATATATTTGTATGTCTAATTAAAGACATTTATTATGGAAGAACTATTTTATATTTATTTCTGACACCATATATGAACATCTACATGACTGTATTTGTGTCTACATAATACAACCAGCACAGCGATAAAAAGAAATGTAAAATTTATAGTATAAACCAACCATCATAAAATCTGTAAAATAGGCTACCAAACATGAACCCTGTATTCCACATTTAGAGGATAATTGTTATGTTATGAGTGAATGTGGTATATTTCTTTGTTATGAGTGAATGTGGGATATTTGTTATGAGTGAAATGGGATATTTGTTTGTTATGAGTGAATGCAAGAAATTTGTTTTGTTATGAGTGAATGCAAGATATTTGTTTGTTATGAGTGAATGTAGGATATTTGTTTGTTATGAGTGAATGCAGGATATTTGTTTGTTATGAATGAATGCAGGATATTTGTTTGTTATGAGTGAATGCAGGATATTTGTTGGTTATGAGTGACTTTGGGATATTTGTTTGTTAGTTAATGCCCCATAATCATTTTATCAAAGTGAATAATACTATGAGTGAATATTGGATATCTGTTTGTTGTAAGTGTATATAAAATATCTGTTTGTAATGAATAAATATGGTATATCTGACATACTACATGGATGTAATATGAAAATTATAAAATCATGTTTGTTTTCTTTGCTTTCATGAAAAACAATTGGATAATTTTATATTTCTTAAAAGCTGATATGTGCCGTGTCATGACAAAATCAACATAGTGCGTTTTTTATCCAGACCAACCTGCGAATCTGCGCCGCGAGTCTGATCAGTATCCAGGCTGTTCGCTTACAAACCCTATTTGAAGTACAGAAACTGATAGCAAACAGCATGGATCCTGATCAGACTGCGTGGATGCGCAGACTGGTCTGGATCCATGCTGGTCGCAAACCCACTATGTTGGTTTTGTCATGACACGGCTCATATCAGTTTTTGAAGTAGAAAGTTAACAGTGAGTAATATATATCATATCTCACTGACACAGTTTTTCATTGATTAGCATGAGATTAACATAATGAAAGTCTCTTATATACAACATCACCAGTAACATGTTAAAATGCACCTCTAAACATTATCAACAATACAAGAGTTTAATAATCAACAATGACAAAAAGCTTTGCAGGAATGCCGCATAAAATACTGGCCTTAAAAAAATCGTTCACTTTCAGAAAGCAAAGATATTAAACTTTATGTTTGTTACTAAAACCTATGTACATGACAAGACTGGGCGTTATGTTACCTTATAATGTTGCATGTATTAATGCCCAGTAGGCCTAGAAAATGCTAGTATTTTTATTTCTCAAAAGCTTCTTATTTTTGGAGTCCTCTTACAGTTAAATAAATTCTTACAACTCATAAGCCATAAAGATGACACATCTTTTGTTTCTACTGTCCATAGAAAAAAGTACATTTATAGTGACATAGTATTTTGAATGGAAATAAAAACACCATTTTTAAAATACTTTCTACAAGAGATCTGCATCTAACTTGTTTGAAAGATAAAATATTAAAAACCTTAATATAACAAATGCTTGCCCATTCTAAAGAAGAAAAATATTACAATGTGCCTTTAAAGTAACATAATGTTAAAAATATCTTTCATGTTAGAAAAATATTAGAGATACTATTTTAAATATAGGATTCATTATAAATGTTATGTATTCCTCTTGTCTGACGTTTTTCTCTATATAGTTATTTCAAAAATTACAAAAGATATGTGAAAAGTGGTAAAAACTAAAATTAAAAACATCTTCCTCATAAATTCTGAACACTTATCATCAAGAAAGAGTAAATATACATGAGGTTGACAACAGCATATAGGCTAAGCTTTATGCAAAGCTGTTTCGGCATTAAAATACATATTGTGACTGTACATAAAAGATATCTGGTTATTAGTCCATGTACTTTAATAAAATAATTTAAAATTCAACATGTGGAGGTATTGATACATGTTTAATCAATTTCAATTTCATATATACAAGAGGTTACAGATCACTAAATGTAGTATCTAATATAGGCAAGAGGTTACAGATCACTAAATGTTTTATCTTAAGATAGGCAAGGTCAAAAACTTTCTGCAAATACTGGCAAATAAGGCAATAGGAACTCTGTGTCACAATTCAATAAATATTAAATGACCACTACAAGTGGCAAGAAATAGAAACTGACAGAAGGCACACAATCATACGATAACCTATAGTCTCATCACCTCAGTGCAGTAAAGGGTTACCTCCTATTAAATTCATATAAGGAGTTAACCCATTACTGCACCAATGTGATGATCTGTGATTTTGATGTTGAAGAAAGATTTTATGAATTCTTGCAGTAAACACAATAAATTTTGTCACAATAGAGCAGTAACGGGTTAAGTCCTTCTAAATTTTAAAGAAGTTAATCAGTTATTGCACTTAAGTGACACAAATCATGAACAATTTTTGACTCGGGGTAAACATGCTCACATTTCTAAATTTTGTGGTAAACATTTACAATGAACATTTGTGGTAAACATATATCATAATGTTTATTTATGGTAATCATGTACACATGTACAATGTTTTACTCAAGGGTAAACATAAACACCATTTAACCAAGAGTTAACATGTATTTCATTGTTTATTTGTGGTAAACATTTACAGTTTTAACTGAAGATCAACATGTAAAATAATCTTATGTGGTAAACAACTATCACTTAGGGTACACACAGCCACGTAGGTACTGGCGAAGATAGGCTATGCTCATTGGCTGTTTTGAGATGAGATCTTCATATGGAGACCGGTCAGCTCTCATTGGCATATCTCCAAAATCAATCTAGATAAAAAAGAGAAATAAAATATTATGATAATTTTGTTTGTTGTATCATGAATGTATAAACATATTTAGGGACTGAAGACCTGCTCTTTACGTCAGGCCAGATAATTGCTTCCTGGGTATCAAAACAAGTAATTGCATCAGTTGTAACAAGTAATTGCACCAGTTGTAACAAGTTGAAACAAGTAATTGCACCAGTTGTAACAAGTTGAAACAAGTAATTGCACCAGTTGTAACAAGTTGAAACAAGTAATTGCACCAGTTGTAACAAGTTGAAACAAGTAATTGCACCAGTTGTAACAAGTTGAAACAAGTAATTGCACCAGTTTGTAATTGCACCAGTTGAAACAAGTAATTGCACCAGTTGTAACAAGTTGAAACAAGTAATTGCACCAGTTGAAACAAGTAATTGCACCAGTTGAAACAATGTAATCACACCAGTTGAAACAAGTAATCACACCAGTTGAAACATGTAATCACACCAGTTGAAACATTTTATTGGACCAGTGTAAATTGTGGTTGTTAAATGGGAATCTGGCAACTGAGATTAATACAAACAGCTTCTGTATAAAGCATTCAATGCTCCTCCTATACACCAATCTACCTTCTAGTTTGTTTATTTATTTTGTTGGATTTTAAGTCACACCAACACTGTGAAGGTCATACCATCACCTTAGGGAATGGATTAACTCTGTCTAAATTTAGTAGTAGTAAGTTAACCTGTTACTGCATCAATGTGAAAATATGAACACTTTCAGGCTTTACCAGTGTGATCTGAGGTGCGACTTCATGCATTATTTCAAGCACAAGCTTGAATCTCAGTAGAACTACCAACCTTCTGTAAGCTAGCTGGATAGCTACCTCACATGAAAGAATAATAGAATCTATCATTGGGTTTGATAGAGGATAGAGAAATCCCAACCCGAGGGTGATCGGTTCCATCGGGAACGAGCCTTGGCGAGTTCCCGATGGAACCGATTGCCCGAGGGTTGGGATTTCCCTATCCTCTAGCTAACCCAATGGTTGATTATTTTTCTCACTCACCTGGACACACAAATATCAGTGAATCTACTTGCTACGCGTAGTTTTGAAAAGGGGGCGGGGCTTAGGATTAAAAAGCATTGTGTACGTCCGCAAAAAATTCTTCTGACCAAGTTTATGTGTTAAAAATTTAATGAGAATAAATTCATATAAGATCCCTCATCAAAAAGCAAGGTTATCATGATAAAACACATCGATATTAAAAACAGAAAGTGCCATAATAGTAGTGTTTATAAGGACTTCAGTCCATACTTCAATGGTTGACAAAAAAGCGTTTACCGTTTGCAAAGATTTTTCTACTTTTTCGGTTATTTTGGCCGAATATTCAATTAAAATATATCAAAATGAGATTCGTCATCAAGAAGCATCGTTATCATAACAAAAAACATGAATGTTTTTCAGGCAAAGTGTCATAATATCCGATTTTACGAAGAATGTTCCGATATTTTAAAGTGTGCTATTTTTAGTAACAGATCGTTATTGAAAAGGGCGGATCTAGGTTGAGTAGGACTCATTGCAGTGTGAAAGTTAATATCAATCTATTTTGATTCCGTAGACAATTTAATAGATTAGCACACAAATATTTAATACATTTTGACCTTCTGACGTTTCATTTTTATTAAAATAGGAGTGAATCGCGTATTATTTAGAAGTGCTGCACGTTGAGTGTGAGATAAGCCCATGTGAGATAAGATTTTCCAACACCGCTATTTTTAGTAACATTTAAGGATTTTTCTATCTGGTTAGTGAGAATCTAAAGTCCCTGTCGGGATTTAGAATTAATTCCCAGGCAAGAATAAATTGGATAAATAGTTGAATTCTTATCCTAACACTATTATAAATTAAATGTTTTTTAAGAAATCAGTCTGAGCGATATTTATCAGCTATTTAACACCGGATTTGTTGTTTTGATGTTAAAAAATTAATCACTCAGGCCAACGTCTTCGTTGTCAATTCCTCAACATCCATATTCCACATCAAAACTTCAAAAAGGTGTTAAATAGCCAATAAACACCCCTGAGACCAATATTTAATTTTTAAAGTATATTGATTTATAAAAGTTGTAATATAAATATATATATGCGTGCATGTATTGAAGAAGTTACACAATCAATGTCTGGTTAGTATAATCTTCTATAACTTGTTGATAAATTACTTGAATAAAAACAAACATTTCACTAATTGATTATTCTATCAGAATCAGTATACTATCTTTTTTGGAGATACAGTAAAAACCCGCTTTAAGACCACCCCGTTTTCGAGACCAACCCGCTAATACGAACGATTTTTCAAAGACCCGATTTTTTTATTCTTTATTTTAATGGTCGCTAACCCCGATTTTGAGACCACCCCGTTATTCCGTAATACGACCAGTAAATTAAGTCCCATTTCGTAAATTCTGTACATTTGGAAACCCATAAATACGACCGCGGACACTTTCTCACCTTGATATTGACATGCATGTATATTGCTGAAATCTTTCTGACACGTATTGTAAACAACAGATGTCCTAGTTTTACGACATTTTACGACATCCAATTTACGGCAAAGGTCAAGGTTTCTTGACAAGAAAAATTCTATAATGTTAAAAAGTAAAAGAAAATAAATGAAAATAAAAAAATAATAGTGTATGCTTAATATATTCTCATTTGAAATAGGTTAGCCCAGAATTAAACATGTGTACAGTACATGGTATCCCTTAATATATTGCCTGGTTTTCTGTTTGACCAAACTCATTAATGAGACCAACCCGCTATTAAGACCAGATTTGTAAAGTCCCTTCATTGGTCTCATTAGCGAGTTTTTACTGTACTTCATTTGATATTTTTTCAAGACAAAAATGGTTATCTTTAGAGAATAATTAAGCCCATAAGATTTTTCAGGTCTATAAGGAACAACTAGTTTTTCATTGTGAAGGGATAATCCACTATCTTAGTTTAACATTTTTCATCCTTAAAGCTTCATGCCTCCAATTTATTTAAAATATTCTGAGAAAATTAAACTTGAGAAAAATATAAAATTTAAGAAAAGTAAAATGATTTAAGAGCCAAGTAATAATTAACAAGTTATGTGTGTGATTAAGGACTGATTTTGCAGTATCTATTACCATATTTTTACTGTGTTAATAATGCAGTAAGGGCTATCTTTGCTTATTTTGACATCCTTTTAGGCAATTGACGTGGATTGCAAGTCTTGTTTGCAAAATGTAATTTATTTTCTTTGTTCACTTCACAGTATTTTACTTTTCAATATATTTTCATAATTTTCATGAAAATTAGCAGGAATCTGGAGGTGTGCTGCTTTAAAACTAAGAGCAATTATAAGTTCAAGTACTGGGGGGATCGAGCTTGCAACCCCCCCTGGATGTGTTGTATGACAATGTGACTACTGGACTGCCGGAATATTTCAGCTAACATACCTGCATTATGTAGGTAACCATGGTGAATATCTTCTTGTCTTTACTGACGGGCTCTAAAATCCATCCACTTGGTAATACCTGTAAATATATAAGTAAATATATCAGATAAGAAAAAAAGATGAATAATTACTAACTAATATCATTTATTTTATTACATGTATTAAAATTATGAAATTGTTACATAAAATTATCCTTTTAACAAAGCATATAAATATGGTGATGAAACATCTTCACCACTGACCTGCTGGTATTGAAAGTAATAAGCATTTGCCATCAGTATTGAGTCAGGCCAGCCTACACATCTGTACAGTGTTACCAGGCTCTATACTGTTGCTAGCTCAATTTTTTGGGTGTTTTGTTATTGAAATCCCTTGATTTTCAAATGAACTGTTCAGAAAGGGCAAATGTATTACAATAATTAACAAGAATTTGTAACAGAGTTTTATATAAGGCATAAAATTGTGCTATTTCAAAAAATTGAGATATGGATCTCAGGGCTTTCAGTCCAAGATTATGATCAATACTATATCTGCAAATGCAACAATAAATTTATCAAAGAAATAAAATGAAACAAGGAATTTAAAAATCTATCATGTTAAGCTTTGACCTCTAAGTGTGACCTTGACCTTGGAGGTAGGGGTGCAGGTGTTGTGCATGACATATCGTCTTATTATTGTTACTTTTTGTGCCAAGTATTTTCAAAATCCCTTGAACTATGAAGAAGTTAAATTTCGGACATAAACTATACCCTATAAAAGTCTATGTTAATCTTTGACCTCTAAGTGTGACCTTGGAGGTAGGGACCCATGTTTTGCGCCTGACATTATTATCTTATCATTTTAACTATAAGTGCCAGGTATTTTCAAAATCCTTTGATCTATGAAGAAGTTATGGACGGACACAAAAACACCATATAACAGACTCTGTTAACCTTTGACCTCTAAGTGTGACCTTGACCTTGGAGGAATGGATGCAGGTGTTGTACTTGACATATCATCTTATTTTTGTGACTATTTGTGGCAAGTATTTACAAATTCCTTTGATAAATGACAAAGTTATGGACCGGACACAAAATATACCCTGTAACAGACTATGTTAATCTTTGACCTCCAAGTGTGACCTTGACCTTGGAGGTAGGTGACCGGTTGTTGCGCATGACACATGGTCTCATTACTATGAACAATTGTGGCAAATATTTACAAAATCCCTTCAATGATAAGGAAGTTATGGACCGGACACAATATATACCCTCAAATAGACAATGTTGACTTTGAATGAGCAAGTGCGACCTTGACCCTGAAGGTAAGGGTCTGGTTGTTGAGCATGACACATCGTCTTATTATAACAAAGATTTGTGCCAAGTTATTTCAGATTCCTTTGATAAATGACAAAGTTAAGGACCGGACACGAAAGTGTGACGGACGGACGTACTCACAAAGTACTTATGTGACTTTTCCTTTGATCTTTTTGGCCATTTTTAGTCACACAAGGCTTAAAAAAAGACACAAAAGTAAAAACGGAATGAATAGGATCAAAGAGAATATACTGTTACCCATTGTTCTCCAAGTCACACAAGTACCTCTGGGTTCGTACGGACAGACGGACGGACAGAGGATCAAAGAGAATATACTGTTACCCATTGTTCTCCAAGTCACACAAGAACCTCTGGGTTCGTACGGACAGACGGACGGACAGAGCCTATTTCTATATCCCCTTTTTTCTTCGAAAAGGCGGGGGACAATAAGTAATTAATAAAGTTCAGGGATAAAATATTAAAATAAATGCCTTGTTTCTTAACAGGTTATAAACAGTTGACTACTTATTTCGAATTATCAACTAGAAAAATTCAAAAAGTTGAAGCTGGGCAAAAACCAGGAAAACTTCATCGGGGTAAATGTTAGAAATCATGTATACTAAACATCTTAACAGAAAAGTAGAAAAAAGCATCAAGAAACTTTCAGCATAATATATAACACTGTTTAATATTTTCATCATTCTATAGTATAATGAATAAATACCTTTACTCTGGTTGTATTTTCTGGAAGACTAACACCGGACTTCTCGGTAGACTGAAATGAAAGGATATATTTCTCCCCGCTGTCTACTTTCTCACTTTGCATGACAATCATATCACAGCACTCTGTCTTGAACAATTGTAGAACCTCGTGGTAATAATATACTGAAACCATACATACAAATATATTGTGTAAAATATTCCTTCTTAACTATTAAGGCATTATTTTTTTCAGTTTTTTTTTAAAAATACATTTACTGTTTCAGTCATTAACAATGATGGAAGACTTCAGGTGCACTTCTGTGTATTTCTAGCAGAAGTTACATAGGTAGGAACACTTATGACACATCATTAGCCAGCTGGTTTGTAGGCAGAACCACTGATCCTTTGTAAGTCAAAGGGTACGTTGGTAGAACCACTGTCCCTTTGTTGGTCATCTGGTTTGACGGTAGAACAACTGTCCCTTTGTTAGTCAACATGTCCGTAGGTAGAACCACTGACCCTTTGTTAGTCAACATGTCCGTAGGTAGAACCACTGTCCCTTTGTTAGTCAACATGTCCGTAGGTAGAACCACTGACCCTTTGTTAGTCAACATGTCCGTAGGTAGAACCACTGTCCCTTTGTTGGTCATCATGTCCGTAGGTAGAACCACTGACCCTTTGTTAGTCATCTGATTGACGTAGAACCACTGTCTCTTTGGTTAGTCAACATGTCCGTAGGTAGAACCACTGACCCTTTGTTGGTCATCTGGTTTGACGGTAGAACCACTGTCCCTTTGTTAGTCAACATGTCCGTAGTAGAACCACTGTCCCTTGTTGGTCATCTGGTTTGACGGTAGAACAACTGTCCCTTTGTTAGTCAACATGCCCGTAGGTAGAACCACTGTCCCTTTGTTGGTCATCATGTCCGTAGGTAGAACCACTGTCCCTTTGTTAGTCAACATGTCCGTAGGTAGAACCACTGACCCTTTGTTAGTCAACATGTCCGTAGGTAGAACCACTGTCCCTTGTTGGTCATCATGTCCGTAGGTAGAACCACTGTCCCTTTGTTAGTCATCTGGTTTGACGGTATAGAACAACTGTCCCTTTGTTAGTCAACATGTCCGTAGGGTAGAACCACTGTCCCTTTGTTGGTCAACATGTCCGTAGGTAGAACCACTGACCCTTTGTTAGTCAACATGTCCGTAGGTAGAACCACTGTCCCTTTGTTGGTCATCATGTCCGTAGGTAGAACCACTGACCCTTTGTTAGTCATCTGGTTTGACGGTAGAACCACTGTCTCTTTGTTAGTCAACATGTCCATAGGTAGAACCACTGACCCTTTGTTAGTCATCTGGTTTGACGGTAGAACCACTGTCTCTTTGTTAGTCAACATGTCCGTAGGTAGAACCACTGTCCCTTTGTTAGTCAACATGTCCATAGGTAGAACCACTGACCCTTTGTTAGTCATCTGGTTTGACGGTAGAACCACTGTCTCTTTGTTAGTCAACATGTCCATAGGTAGAACCACTGACCCTTTGTTAGTCATCTGGTTTGACGGTAGAACCACTGTCTCTTTGTTAGTCAACATGTCCATAGGTAGAACCACTGACCCTTTGTTAGTCATCTGGTTTGACGGTAGAACCACTGTCTCTTTGTTAGTCAACAATGTCCATAGGTAGAACCACTGTCCCTTTGTTAGTCAACATGTCCATAGGTAGAACCACTGACCCTTTGTTAGTCATCTGGTTTGACGGTAGAACCACTGTCTCTTTGTTAGTCAACATGTCCATAGGTAGAACCACTGACCCTTTGTTAGTCATTCTGGTTTGACGGTAGAACCACTGTCTCTTTGTTAGTCAACATGTCCATAGGTAGAACCACTGACCCTTTGTTAGTCATCTGGTTTGACGGTAGAACCACTGTCTCTTTGTTAGTCAACATGTCCATAGGTAGAACCACTGACCCTTTGTTAGTCATCTGGTTTGACGGTAGAACCACTGTCCCTTTGTTAGTCAACATGTCCATAGGTAGAACCACTAACCCTTTGTTGGTCAGCTGGTTTGCAGGTAAAACCACTGTCAAATTTTGACCAAGCAGGTTTGCAGGTAAAACCACTGACCCATCGTGAGGCACCTAGAAAGCTTTCCTAACAAGAAAAAAAAATCCCTGGTAGGATTCAAAGATTCAGACATGAATGGCAAGTGGTTCTAAGTCAGAAACCCAATCCACAAAAGCCTCTTCAACAGAAACATTTTTCTTGCATTTAAGACTGGATTATCTATTTACTGATGCTGAATAATATAATAGCATGCCTCAAATCATGCTAATTTTCCAACTTTATAGGATGACATTATTACATTAAGAATGAAGTTGTAAATTCATAAGCTTTAATTAAAAATCAATGCTAAATAATAACAAGAGCTGTCGGAAGGACAGCACGCTCGACTATTCTAAGTGCTTGATAGTAAAAGAGCTTTGATAATGTTAAATTTTTTAAGTTCACAAAAGGGCTAATTTTTTTTTATAAATTCAAGTTATAGGCCTTGGAGAGAGTCTAATTATACAGTATTGGCTTGACTATTCGGAAGGTAATGTCACAAGGGTGTTTTATTGAGTATAATAATACTAATTACCTATGAATACATAAATTTGACAGAAAAGGTACAAAGGCTTGTTATTAAGATGTTTTATCAAGTAAATCACAGCTTTATTATTATTAATGCTTAAATTGTCCCAAAAAAGGCACAAACCCTTCAGTAGTTATTGAGATAACAGCTTACAAGCAAAACTTTACCATGAATTTCTAAGTTGAAAAAGGGGAGAAAAATCAGCCTAAATGCAAGATAGAATTATGGATCTTTGTCAGTGACCTACAATTATGACTCTAAATGCATACGTGAAGTTTTAAATAAATATCTTTAATAGTTATTGAGATATGTAAAACTTGCATGTAAACATTAACCAAGAGACTAAGTAGAAAAGGGGATATGAATCAGCCTTAATGCAAGATAGAGTTATGGAACTTGGTCAGTGACATACAATTATGACCCTCCAATTATGACCCTACGTGCATGTGTAAAATTTCAAGTAAATATCTTTGAAGACCTTTAACCTTTAACCAAAATTTCTAAGTTTCAAAGGGGAAAATAATTCTGCAAATATTGCAGGCAGAGTTATCCAACTTGTCAATCTGATGTACCTTGTTACTATAAATAAGTATTGTAAGTTTCAATTGAATATCTCAAGCAATAATTGAGATATTTGACTTTACAAAAAAACTTTAACCAAAATTTCTAAGTTCCAAAGGGGCATAATTCTGTCAATATTGTAGGCAGAGTTATCCAACTTGTCAATCTGATGTACCTTGTTACTATAAATAAGTATTGTAAGTTTCAATTGAATATCTCAAGCAATAATTGAGATATTTGACTTTAAAAAAAACTTTAACCAAAATTTCTAAGTTAAAAAGGGGCATAATTCTGTCAATATTGTAGGCAGAGTTATCCAACTTGTCAATCTGATGTACCTTGTTACTATAAATAAGTATTGTAAGTTTCAGTTGAATATCTCAAGCAATAATTGAGATATTTGACTTTACAAAAAACTTTAACCAAAATTTCTAAGTTAAAAAGGGGCATAATTCTGTCAATATTGTAGGCAGAGTTATCCAACTTGTCAATCTGATGTACCTTGTTACTATAAATAACTATTGTAAGTTTCAATTGAATATCACAAGTAATAATTGAGATATTTGACTTTACAAAAAACTTTAACCAACGCAGACGCCGACGCGGACGCTGACGCCGACGCCGGGGCGACTACAATAGCTCTCATATTCTTCGAATAGTCGAGCTAAAAAATATTAGTTTTCATTATTTCTTCCCAAAATATCATTAAAATGTTAAATGCAAGAAAAAGAATCCTGAAGAATATTTTATTAGTTTTTACTATTAAATTTTCTTTCCGAACTATAATTTAAATGTAATATGCATAACAAAAATCCATGAAAAAAATCCGGAGTATGATGTTATAGTAATTCAAACTATATATATAATAATACAATGGTTTTAAACAATGACTATTTCTTTTAAATGATTAGCTTAAATAAAATAAAATTTCAAAAATATCAATTTTTCAATAAAAAAATCAAAAATTTACGCCCTAAAATCAACTAAAAAGTTGGTTTTAAAGAAAAACCCTTGTTAGTCTCTAATTGAAAAAACCCCCCGGGGTTAATGATAATACCCTGGTTAAAAGTCAAAAAAGCAGGTTTTTGGGGGTTTGTAATTACCCCCCAAAAAGTTCCCACCTTTTTAAACCAAAATTTAAACAAAAAAAATTTCCCAATTTTTAATTGAGTCAGATACCTTCTCCAGGACGTCTACTTTCTGTAACATAAATAATAATTATCTTGAAAATAATGAGACTTTGAAAGTTTACTGTAACAAAATTTCGTATTTTATATCATAAATCTCTTTTCCTATATTTAAAATAAATGCTCAAGAAATTGATTTTAGCCATTTTGAGAATATTATAAGCTATTAAAATGTAAGCCTTACAGACTTTAAGTCTCTGCAGAGAGTTTCTAGAAACCATGTGGGTATAGAGCAATATCTAGAAGAACAGCTGTGTGCAGATATATGACTAGATCTTGGTAATTTTACGATGAAATGAATGAGAATTAAACCTTCATTTTGTCAATCGTGAAATTTTGATTTATAAATAAATTTCATTGTAAACATATATAGCCAAGGGATTGGGAGAAAAATATGTATCTAACAAGAGCTGCCAGTAGAACAGAGTGCTCTGATATTCACAGTAAAACAAGAGCCTGGATAATGTAGGAATTCACAATGGGTATCATGTCATTAAAAACCCATGATAAAGTAATAACTTTAAGTTTTAAGTTTTTTTCCAAGTGCTATAATTGTGTCCAAATTGATCCGACTAGAGTAATGAGTCTTTTTCATAACAATCTTGGGAAATGTGCAAAGCAATATGGATATATTCAGTAGAAAGAGGGGCTGATCTTTTTTACAAAATATTAACCAGGAATTTTGAAGTTTTATAATAAAAACAAAAACCCTTTTAATTTTTGAAGGCTAAAAATTAAAGCAAAATTATGCTAGATTAGGGGGTTTTGGGTAATGTCTTATAAGTTCAAAAAGGGATTTAAGGTAAAATTTCTAGGTTTTTGGGCATTAGACATTCCTATCATTTTAAACTTTTGTGAAGATGTTTTTACCCTCTGGAATTTTACCAATAAAAAATCCAAAATAAAGTTAGGGACCATGAAATGATTTCAATAAAATCTCTAAGAATTGTTAAAATCTGTAAAGCAAATCCCTCGTATTGTTGAGATAAAATTTAAATGAAAAAAAGCACTAGCCTATTTTTAGACTAAAAAAAATTTGATTTGAGGGGCTATAAATGACCCAACGGAAAAGCATTTGACTCTATCTCTATCCATTGAGCAGCTTTTTGAAATCAATTTTGATGGAAAAAATCAACGCAAAATAGTGATTTTTGGCAATTTTGAGATGTCCCCTCATTGCCATGGTAACAGAAAATTTAAGCCTGAGCATGTTGTTTCAAGGGCAATGGTCCAGTCAACATTTGTGCCAAGTTTGTTTAGTGTTGAAGCAGTTTTTATAGTATTATAGCAATTTGAACTTGTAACGGGAGACTTTTCAATGAAAACAGCCATTTTTCACAAAATGCTCATGAAGTAATGGTTTAAACACGTTTGGTTTTCAGAAAATTGTCATGGCAAAACAGTTCAAAGTATTCATTCAAAACTGATGATGATCTTTTTTCCTGAATCGATAAATAGCATTCTTGTGGTTCTTGGATATGACTGTAAAAACTTGCAAGCACACTGACAAAATAGCCCCACTATTTTTCTAAATGTCAAGCAACTTGTTTTTGTTGTTGGTTAAGTTGTGTAAGACATTGACTTTAGAGAAGCTTATACTACCGGATATTGTGACACCCACATAGATCAATGTACCTTTAATATTCCCATAAACAATCCCTGATATCATGCACAGGAAATTTGATTTCCTTGGTTGAAAATAACAAAAATAATGTTACAATAATATTATTCTACCAATATACATTACAGGTATTTGACAAGAAAAAATTTACCAACGTAAAACATGTATAATCACCTTGTAAACAACAAGGTATTTATTCATCATACTAATAGACAAATGAACATTTTTAAAAATAGTCAGGAAATATTGTCCAATTTATGAATAGTCAGGAAATATTGTCCAATTTATGAAAAACTTAAGTACATGTGAATATTATTGAATTAGTTAGAAGAATGTAAGATTTCCTATGAAAATATTGCTCACATATGTTTAAATGGGGTGTACCTAACTTGGCTTAAAAGAATTATACTGAAAATTTGCATCACCATATAATAAACAGTGTTAAAGGTGTAAGAACTAACCACTGAGGTATCATTAAAACTACTGTATCATTATTATATATATCAAAGTTCATAGCTTACCTTAAGGCTGTCATCATATGTAAACTTGGTTCGTGGATTTTTTATTGCATTCCAAACTGCACGTGGATCAGCTTGAATAATGCCTTTTCCAAGGTAACTGGTAAATAAAAACCATTTCATAACAAATGAAATGAAAAACATGAATATAAATCATGACTACCAGTTTTGTTATGTGATGGAAAAAAATAATAATCTAAAAGGTAACAAAGGGCATACATGTGATGCAAAATTCTAAAACAATTTCCTGTGCTTCAAACTTTCATTTCTTATTAAAAAAATATTTTGTTTGGGTTTTAAGTCTCCTTGATGGTGTAATTGTCATAAGCCAATATCAAAAGGTAGAGGAAGACCTCAGGTACCCTATCATTTGATTTTAAAGCATGAGAGAGCACTAAGTACAACCACCAACTTCATGCAAGCTAGCTGGATATCTACCCCACATGTCTAGATACAAAATACTTGGCAGAATTCAACAAATAGTTCTAATTAAACGTCAGCAAATTTAACTTCTTAATCTTAACCACTTGAACCCCCTCCACGTTATATACTGTATTATGACCCAGTTATAACTCCTGGAATAAATAATCTGTGTATTATGCACTAGCGTCAAAACACATACATGACAAACATTTCTCGAGAGTCAGGAGAGGGGGCATAGAGAGGACCACTCAATCTCATCACTATGTCAGCTTATTATAAAAAACATAAGTGAAATCTGTTACACAAAGACATATGAGGGTTTATTCAGAAGAAATGCCACTGTGACTGATGTGCATTTAGTTTACACTGAATTGTAGTAAAAAGTAATATTAAAATGTTGACTCATTCAACACTGATGAAACTGACAAATATTTTCTATCCTATAACACTTCTATTTGAGATTGAAAAGATTTCTATTAACACCATCCTTCTCTGTTTTAAAGGCAATAAGAAACTGTTAATAAATATCAAAATGATGTGCCAGAGAAGGGGATAAAATTTAAATAAAATGATAACTTTTTTCCTCTTATCTGCAGTCAAAATTTTAATAATGTCACAGCAGGTTTGACTTTGCTACATGATGCTAATACCTGTTAGTGCTTAACAAAAAAAGTGGCAGGTTGAATTAACACATTTTTGTTTCAGCTTAGGAAAACCATGCACAATGTACATGATAAATGACACAAATAATTGGTCGCTTAATGATCATGTAAGACCAAGGACTTTTTAGTGTAAGGGCCACGAAGAACCGCTCACTAACAGTGACTTATTTCAGAAAAATTGAAATTCCTCTATTTGTGCATAAAGCAAGAATTAAGATATGATGAGCTTTTAAATTTAATAAAAAACCTTAACTGAAAGCATGTTGACTGTTGGACAGGCTTCACAATTGACGAAAGATGTAGAAATGGCCTTCAGGGTACAAGAAAACAAATGTTTTAGCATAGATGGAGGAAGGAAGGTTATAAGTTTCTGCAGTGAATCATTAATTTATTTTTTTTAGTTACAATTGTGTCCTTTTCTTATATGAAATTTTATATTTTATTATCATTCTTTACGAAATTTCTTAAATTAATTTGCAGGTTTGATCCAGACATCTCACAACAGCATTGCCGAAAAATCCTGGGCATGGATTTACATCTCTTACATGGGATTGGTAAGAAAACGTTTTTCTTTAATTGGTGTACAGTTATTAGTGCCAGCAAGAACGCTGCTTTTAAAAGGACTTAAAGGAGTAAGGCTTCAAAATCCCTTTTGACATCAAAGTTGTGGTTGACATTCAGTGTTTGCCATTACATTCATTTATGTAAATGCCAATATTTTCATGATCTATGCTATATCTTCATGAGCACCAGTTTATCAAATTTTGTTGTTTTCTATATAATGTAGATAATAAAAAATATTGCAGCCCCAGTGACAGCACTTCTGGATCAAAAATTTGAAATATAGAAAAAGTGGTGGCATACCTATGAAGATTTTCTTTGATCGAGACTTTCTTCAGAACAACAACATCATTATCAAGGCCACAAAACCTGAAAAAATGTTTTGTCAACTTATATAAAATGTATCATACATGCTAATAGGCTTCTTAAATAACAAAAATATTTGTGCTTTTTTCATAAACAAGATCATGAACATGTTTATGAAATTTCCTTTATTGTGAAAAACACAAAAGCAAATGCCAATACATGTGTACGTAAATTAAAACACCAGAAGGTCACCAGGTTCAACAAGTCCTATTTAGATAAATACAACAAATTTTACCTACATATATATTTAAAGATATGTTTAAATGAAAGAAAAATCTCATTCATCACTGATCAATACTGTACAAGTGGTTAATTGGAAATATTTGCAACTTTTGCGAATTGAAATTATTCGCAAATATTTGATTACGCAAAAATTATTTCTGTTTAGGCAAACTTTCTTCTTCCATTTGGAAAACCAGGTTTTCATAAAAATCTTCAGAAAAAGTTTGATTTTAAAATGAAAAGGGGATTTTTTTTCTTTTTTTGTTTGTTTTTTAAAAATTTTTTGGTCTTAATAAATAAAATTTTTGAATTTTAAATAAATTTTTTTAAATTTTTTTCACAAAAGGTTATTTATATAACAAAAATTTTTCAAAAAATGACAAAGAAAAGTTGATCTATCCTTTAAGAAAAATAAAAAAGTATATTTAAACAATCATATAAATAACAAAAGGAAAAATAGAAAAAGAAAGATTTTAAACGCAATCTTTTCTTGACCGTTAAAATTAATGATAACTAAAACAGATTAAAATTTAGAAATCATATTTTCGCAAATATTTCCGCATGCAAGAAGTCCACTTTTTGTGATATAAATATCCACTTAGACAGTAATCAAAAACTTACATCCATCCACCTGAGTTGATCACTTGATCCTGTACAGACTTGCTCAGATCTATATTAGAAGCTTGTAATGCCTGTAAAACAACATTTAAAATCACTCATTCTTACAATACAAAACCCCAAATTCAAATTGTGATGAGCTTACTAAAACAAGAGCTGCCAGTATGACAGTGTGTTCCACTATTCTCAGTACCTGGATAATGTAGAAGTTTTTATGTTCAGAAAGGGCCTCAATTCTGTCAAAATCCATGAAAGACTAACGGGCCTTGGATTGTGATTTCCAATCACGCTCTCAGGTGTGTGAAGTTTAAGCCATTTCCTTCAGTAGTTTCAGAGATACCAACTTGCACGCAAAAACTTAACTGAAGCCATGCACTGACGACTTGGAAAGTACAATTTCTCTCAATATTTTTTTAACAGTCAAGATAATAAGTGTTTTCTTTAATTAAGAGGGTTGCATCATATAAATTTTGTAAGGGGATTTTATCATTGCTCAGAAAAAGTATGGAAATGAAAGCAGAATACTGCAAAATCAATTTATAACCAATCATCATATAAATCACTGACCAACTTGCATAACTGGTAATACACATATCTTTATTCTCAGTCTATTTTTATTTAAAAAAAAACCCTGATCAAACCAAGAAAATAAAAAGAAATACAAGTATCTAACTTACAACTGCAAGAAGTTCAGCTGCTGTTTGGTTGGCATGTACAATGTGATGAATATCCTCTGAAAAAGTGAAACAATTTCATAAATTTTCATCATAATTTACTATTTTTCAAAACTTAAATTTTTTCATCAAACTGGTTTTTCAAGCTTACTTTAGTTTTAAATACCACAACAGAAAACATTTTCATAAATCTTCATCATAATTTACTGTTTACTTTTCAAGCTTACTTTTTCATCAAACTTACAATTTACTCAAACTACACCTTATTTCCTCCAAAATAACGGGAAACAATTTCATCAAGACTTCATCATTATTTACTGTTCTTTTCCAAACTCAATACTTCATCTTTTTTAATCACATTTACTATTTTTCCAAATTTACTATCAAACTTTCTATTTCTATGTAACTTTTTTTATCAAACTATGTCCCCCCCCCAAATTCAGAAGAACATTTCAAGCCACCTACCTACAAACATGTATATAAAGTGTCAATTTTCCAATTAAATTTTCATTTTTGTACATAAAAATTACAACCTCTATAAAAATTTCATATTTATATTTTTTTCATATTGCTTGTACAAAATAATACTTTTATGCTGAAGTTGTGAAAATTAAAAACAAATCTCATTTTCCAGTTCTTTCACGCCAATTGGTTGTTTTGTGTATCTATGTAATCTAAATCAATGTCGACTGTATATAACTATGTTACATTGTATGTTTATGCTGCAGAACAAATGGAAATCGGGAAACCAGATGTGTATGCTTCCTTAAGTAAAGTTGTTACTTACTTTTTTTCTTATTTTAATTAAATTTACTTCTTTCCATACCCTGACCTACATGTATTTTTCCAAACTGACTTTTTTTTCCAGACATACTGACCAGAGGTCAGTCAACATGGTGTTGTATAACACAAGTATTATGTAAAAAATGGCACCAAAAAAGTATGTCAAACACAAATATCTTAAACAACTATCTCAAGGTTTATTATATTTATCTGAGTCAACAAAAACAAGCAGTTTGGCCATGGATCAAGAGGGATATTTTAATCTACAGGCAAAAAATATAACAGATTTAAGCAGCATTATTATCAAGATCGCCAAACTGTTAGGAATAAAAACCCTGCTATCTGTTTGATTATCCTGCTATCTGTTTGATTATATATCAATCACATACACGGTCATGTTTTTACTAAAGTTCAAACCATGTGTGCACTATGGGCTAAAATAACAGACCTGTCCCATGCAATTGACGACTCTTACTGTGGTAATTTTAATTTGATATTTGACAATCCGCTAAAGTTACTAAAAACAGCCCAAATTTTAAAGAAGAAGATGAGTTCAATAACAATACAGCAGGTTAAAATTTTAATAATTTATGCAATTTGGGGTTTTTACTGGCTTCATATAAAATATATGAAAATCTAATAGCAAAACCATGTCATGTCTTCATAGATTTTTCAAACTCTTCCTCTGCATTTATATCAGCATCTAGTATGCTGTCCATGTCCTCTTCCTTTTCTTTTCCATTGTCTTCTTCATTATCCGATCCACTAATGTCACTATCATTATTAGCATCATGAAACACAGCTGATCCATTAGAACTACTGTTAATCTCATTCTTCCGTTCCTCCATGACAGCATGGCTTTCACCAATGTCTGTTTTATTGCTTGTAGAATTCTCACTCTTTTCACTATCAGACTGATTATTCCAATTTTTATCTTTTACTGTGGCAAGCTTTGGCATATCTACCCTTCTGTCTAATGAACTGGTTTTTAGCTTATCTGAGAGAGGCTTGTTAACGTCAAGCCCATTTGACAAAGTCGGACTATTGTGTTTAAGAATGGAAGCAGAACGAAGAATCTGTTGTTTAGGAGAGTAAGTTTTTTCAGCACCAATGGACGGTCTTTCTACGAGAGATCGAAACCGTAAAAACATTCTTCGACCTGGACTCGTAACATCTTCAGAAGAACTATATGACCTTGTTACAGGTCGAGCTGTCGGAAGTTTTATATCTACAAGAGGTGTGGCGACTAGTTTTCGATAATGGAAGTATTCAGTGAGTGAACTAAGGGCCTCAGATACGTAGCTAGCCGTGGTGAAATGGTTATCTCTATCCTGATAGCCTAGCACTGTCAATAAACACTCATCCACATCTGGAAGTTCGTAACATTGAAAAAAATCTGATCAATTAGTTTAATTGATTTAAATATGTTCTTGAAGGATTTATTGAAATGATTTATTACAAGCTTTTTTTGTAGAACATAACTTAATGTGTAATAATTAAATTATCATTTGAAATATTCACTACGGTAAAGCCTTACATAAATACGGAATAATAACATGAAATTGTATACATCATAAATAAACAGAAACTTCTACAGAAATTCATCATGTGACATCGAAAATAAAAATTGTACGAGATTACAGCAAATACTTAAATATTTACTTACTTGATACCTAATATATTATTGAAAAAACCCGAAAACAATACCTTCAACAGGCTGAGCAAGAAAGAAAAGCCACTCCTGATGTGACTCACACATCTGAAGGTGCCAGCAAACACCATTGTCTTCTCTATGCCAGTACCTGTAAATATGCCATATTTATATATCATTACGCTTATCAAAATAAGGCTGGTCAATTTACAAAAAAATATGAAATAACTTAAATCAATGAAACAATGCTGTAAGAGTCACCCTTAAAAAAATTGTTATAGGTACTTTAAGTTGAAAAGATATCTTTTCATAAAGACAAATGTTTTTTCTTCGGTGTGAGGCAGGGATCAAAATTTCCACTCGTCTTCTTGTATTTACAAGTAGACATTGATGCAGGATGACTACAATACCGTTGTTTGCTCGTCCGGAAGGATGAGCGGAGGGACGAGGGTAAATTTGCTGATGTAATAGAAAGCTAGAATTCTCAAAATCAGTTTATTTACATCTAACAATGGAAAACCAGAAACAAAGCTTGTGCTTTAGGATATGCAGCATTTGCACACTTTATAAAGGTCTGATTGCATTGTTAATTGGATACGGGTGTGACTGGAATGTGCCTGACAATGCTCTATAAAGTGCGTGATTTATACATAACCTAAAACACAAGCTTTGTTTGCGGTTTGTTTGTTAAATTTATGTAAACAAATTGATTATGAGAATTTTTAGCGGTCTCTTGCAAGGTTCTATCACATTGGTTAAGTTTATCTTGAAAATCAAGTAAAAGATGCAGGACGTGTAGCAAAGCATGCCAGGCTAGTAGAAATTTTAAGCCACTCATCCTGCAGGACGTGTGGCTCTGTAAAGAATTTTTGATCCACCTGAGGACTTATGATTTTGACGTATTAACCATTATTTTTACCCTATGTGCATGTAAAAAACATGTTAAGACTTGAGTTGTATACTGTGCACCTCTTATTTCACGGTACTTAATGCTTTGAAACCAGAAAGAAAACAACAAATGAAACTTATGGTACAAAAATTGTCATAAGCTATAACATATAGCTATTTTCTGCTGTATGGCACAAGGAAACAACAATATATTCAGTCAAAGTCAATTTTAATGGACCATAAGTCGGCCATTTTGAAAACAGTATGTCATCATCTAAATCGCAGTAATGGTGTTACATTTCAGTTTTTTCATGTTTCAGTTAAAATTTCTATATGCTGTTTTGCTTGATTTTAAATATTAAAATTATCCTAACTTTGTAACTCAAAATTTATTTTTTCAACATTCAAGAACATTTAGAAAATGATGATTTTTTCAGACATATGTACAAATTAAATGGACTCTTATTGCTTTTTGCCGAAATTTGTAAAATGTTGTTCGGTTTTACGTAAAAATCTAGAGATTTAAAATATTTTGCACAAAAACTTTGTTGCGTAGGTGTATGAATAAAATATGTCAATTCTGACCAGTTTAACACTGGTCACATGAAAATATGCCATTACTGTGAAATAAGTGATGACGTGGAATTAGTAATGTTGACTATATAATTATTTAGAGTATCTTGTTTATGATACCTTCTATGTTCCTTTTGAATAGTTTGCAGAGATCTATTCTCACTACTTATCAATGACCATATTCCATAGCCTTGTGTAGTATCTGGACTAGTTTCTTCTATCACTATGTCATGTTGAACTGGTAAATTACCCATAGTGCCCTTCAATCTACTTCCTGCCTCACTCTCCAATGGTGGTGAGATAATGCTGGTTGCTAGGCAACCTGGTTTCCAGCTTGATGTTTTTGAAACATCCTTCAGGATTTGAAGAACTAACTGCTCAGATGAAAAGAAATTTTATAAGTGTATCACTGATTCATAATAGTGGTTCATAATAATCAATATGAAGTAGCCCTATTTCTTGGGTCTACCTTTCTATCTCAACAATGGGTTTGACATTTTATAAGTAAAAATCTTGTTGAACACAAGAGCCCAGCATGTCTGTAAAAAAATCTAAGTTTATGGATATAACTAAAAAAATATTACTTTCAGAATGGTGCCCCATTGTCTAAACAACTACACCTAGTCATGATAAGCAAGCATCAAGTTTCAAGTTGATGACTTTTAAAATGCTTGAATAGTGGGCTACATCAAAGTTTTTGCACCATGAAATGACAACAAAGAGAACAACAACGCAGACACCACAGAAATCATAACGGTTAATTTTTTTATTCGAAAACATAAACTTAATGATAAGATACTGGAGCTGATAAGTTAAGGGAAGTAAAGTTGAGAGTGATAAAAAACTATATTTAGTTACTTTTAAGTCCATCCATAAATGACAAAATTATGGATCAGACAATGTTTTGACATACACATAAAAAACTAAATGCCTTCCCATTTTGGAGGGCTTAAAAAAACAAAACAGTGCAGATATACATGTGCACTGAATGTCCATTTGCAGCAAAGTTTAGGAGCTGACCTTAGCTGAACTCAGAAATCAGAATGCTGATAATGGTTTAAATACATGTATGCTATTTCCTCACCTCACTTATATCATTGATCTATTTATACTGAACAAAATAGATTACACAAAACAGTGCATAATTATTGCTGGTTTTTACGTCACACCAACACAGTATAGGTCATATGGCGATGTTCCAGCTTTACTGGTGGAGGAAGACCTCAGGTGCCCTTCCATGCGTTATTTCAGGCACAAACAGACACCTGAGTAGAACCACGACGTTCTGTAAGCTAACTGGATAATTATATATACATCTAAGAATTACTATAAAGGCTATTAAATTTACACTACCTGAGCAGGTATTTTTGTTTTAGTGTAAACTGCGTAGACATTGACACTTGAACTCTTGCTGTTGACCGATATCTCCTGCCACCACACTCGACTGTTGTGACGAAATGAGTGTAACTTCCACCCTTTATGAACACTTATAGGAAAAGGCTAAAAATAGAAAGACAATAGCACTTGATAAAATTGTAATAATCTTGTAATACTTTGACACATTATAAGTTTCTTGTAAAGGGTCTACATGTACATGTATGTGCTGTCAACGATAAATTTATAATTACATAAACTTCACCGACTAGAGGTTCAAGTACGTCTTACTAGGTGTATAGACAAATATCCAACATACATGTATATCTACAGAATGAAATAAACAGTCAATATCAGTTTAAAAAAAAAAATCAAATTTGTAATGGTGCAGCATTAGAGCAATGAAAATACATAATAAATTCATGGGCTGTTAATGTTTACACATTTCTGAAACTCTAAATAAATTTTCCAAATTTTAACTTTTCCAAACTTTATTTGCACATGTGTTTGCATGCAGCTTTAAATTCATGTTTGTTTGCTTGGTTTTTATGCCAATTTTGGCAAAGGTCTCGTCATATCTTAGCTTCCTGACCACTATAACAGCTTTCATGGATAACTAACCAGAAATTATCATTTCATGGATAACGTACCAGAAACTATCATGTCATGGATAACTAAACAGAAATTATCATGTCATGGATAACTAACCAGAAATTATCATTTCATTGATAACTAACCAGAAATTATCATGCCATGGATAACTAACCAGAAATTATCAATTTCTCTGCAAGTGACTGACTACTAGTCCTACATGGTTTCTGAATTAGCAGTGAGAGACAAATGACCATTAGATTCAATGTCCAACATCAGCAGCTTTAATTCATGTTTGTTAGTTTGGCTTTCACGTCCATTTTGAAACAAGTCTGGTCATATCTTGGCAGTTGGTCCACCTTAACAGCTTTGACACAAATCCTTTTTTTATCACACCCAAGGATGTAACCAGTGAATCCTGAGTTACAAATCCGATTGAGCTAAGCAGAAAGGCTTTTTTTTTAATATATGAAACAGATGCTGAGTATGAACCAAATTTCTAGCCATTTTACCTTAAGACTAGACCTATCAATTTGACAAACTTACCTTCAAATCTCTTAGCAACGTAAGAACTTCTAAAGTGGTCAGTTTTGGTTTCTTCTGAAAATATATGGTATTGGTTATTGGACTATGATATTTTAATTTTGTAATACCTATATGTTGATATATGTCCCTGTAACTGTAAGTTAGTTTTGTGCAAATTTGTATGATAATTAAGAAATTGTTTAAAATATTAAAAATTTTAATGAATAAACTTATTAACCCTTGTTCCTCTTAATTTTGTAAATGAACTTGTCAATCTTTCAAAATTTGATAATTGAAGAGAACAGATGACTTGTATAATGTGATAAAAGTTTGAATTGAAACATAATAAATGAAATACAAAATTATGATGGTTCTATGTTGAGTACATATCAAGAATGGACTGCAAAACTGCAAGAACTTAAATGAAATAAAGGAGGACTTAGAGCAGTTTTACAATCAACCCTGATTATGATAATATGAAGGAAAGTTAATTATTTGATTTAATGAAAGGTTAACCAGATTTTATCCTAAACGATTAAAGTAACTTTCTTATATATATATATATATATCAAAACTGAGTCTAGAATTGGAAAATGTTTACTTTCTGCATCTAAAACAGCATCATTTTTTACATAAACATTATATTTACCAAACACTTGAGTCATAGTTTCAACATGTTTACTAACAAAATTTACAACTCTAATTAAAGTGTTAACCATGATTCACCTAAGGTTTATATAACTAAGTATAATTGGCAAACAAATGTTGAATCATACATGACACTGATAATGACGTCAAGAATCAATGGAGTATAATGTAATAGATTTGAATGACTAAGATGAAAAGATCAATTGAATAAACATCCAAGATCAATTAGTATCAGTCTGTTTCCTCAAGCATTTTGGCAAAATTAGTCAGTACTTTAAATTAGGACTATCAAATTATGAAAATGCCAGTTTTAATAGATTTATCATCTATCTCTTTTAAACCCTACTAGTTATTAAGTGGCATTAGGCAAATTGCAATTGTCATTGCTTTTGGTCATACATTGGTACAGTATTTACATGCAGAGATGATGTTTTCTTTTTCCCTCAGACAACACATGAAGTTGTTTCAGTAATAGCATTGGGCCTTAAAATAACCCTTGTCTGCCCCCCCCTTCCACATCCCCCAAATCTCATGCCACTGGCTTGGGCAGGAAAGTTTGGTAGGTAAAATGGAATTTTTTTTATCAAAAATGTTTTTTATTGAACATAATTTTGTATTTCATTTAAATGGATTCCATTAATTGTTAAGAGATTAGAACTAAAGTTTTATGGAGTTTATTCAACATATAATTATTGCATTTTGTATATTATCTTAGTGTGTTTATTTACAGTATGCTTAAAAGTTATGTTTAGTTTTGTTTAGCAATTAAATTTTTGGGGATACAGTATAATTATGTTTGTAACTAGTAACTACATGTATGCTTTTCATTGGATGATCATGAGGTTTATACATGTACATTGTATAGTTTTATACACATTGCTGTTGTCATTTTATGATAAAATCTCACTTTTTCCCTTAAACTAGAACTCCCCGAGTCGGATGTGTCGCCTTGTGAACAATATAGTTTAGGAGAAATGGCCAGGACTAAAATGAAATATGAAAATTAACAAAGGGCAATACATGTAACTCAAAAAAAAGAAATACAGAGCAGCAGTTTCTGTGCACTGCACTTCTTATCAATAAGATCTATCATCCTATGAAGTTTCAAGTCTATAGCTCTTATAATTTATGAGAAATGGCCTGGACAAAAATAAAGTATGAAAATTAACAAAGGGCAATAACTCAAAAAATAAGAAATGCAGAGTACCAGTTCTCGAGCACTGCACTTCACCTTAATGAGATCTATCATCCTATGAAGTTTCATGTCCATAGCTTTTATACTTTAGGTGAAATGGCCTTGACAAAAATAAAGTATGAAAATTAACAAAGGGCAATAACTCAAAAATTAAGAAGTGCAGAGTACCGGTTCTTGTGCACTGCACTTCGGGTCATTATAAGAAGCATGCATTCCATGTTTGAAGGCAATCCGACTTATAATGACTGACTTATGCTCTGCACAAGCTTAAGGGGACGCCGACAACACGCAGACACCGCCGACAAAAGTAACCCCTATATGTCGCCTTTTTCAAGGCCACACAAAAAGGAAGTTTGCTGTAAATACATGTATGCCTGGTTAGTGGTTATATGGCTGTCTATAAACGGTTGTAACCCTCGTCTTACAGCTTGCGTTTATATTTTCAAACAACAGTTTATATAAGGATGTATAACCTGTTAAAAATCTTTATAACTAATAATATAATAACTAATAATGTAAGAAGGCTTTGAAATTGAGAATATACAAAATGTATTATACTCATTAAATGAGCACAGAAGTTTTCTACAATTTCTACATAAAATCTAAGTTTGTTTTTTTTCCTGGCAATATATTCTGTCACTTTTATCCCCCAGTAGAGAACATAATCTTGCCACTCTTTGTAACAGACTTCCATTTAGAAAGTTTATTAAGTAAGAAAGGAGAAAAAAATTAGATGCTGTGTATTATCATAAATTCTACATTCTGTATTTGTTCTAAAGGGTAATTACATCATTTTGAATATCTAATAAAGTTTACATGGCAATTTTGCAGGGGGAATGAATGATTTATGCTTATTTGCCATCTTATATTTAGATAAATGTTATTTTTTGCTTCAATGGAACAAATCCTTCTGCACAACTTAATTTATACATGCATGCTGCAAAAATATTCAAATTTATAAAATTTTACAATGATAATCTTGATTATTTTCCATTAAATTGTATTCTTAGTTTAAAACAGCATCAAAGGAGTCTGGTTCTCTACTCCAATACCACTCAGTCCTGTCCACATTAAATTACTTATCATTATCAGAGGCTACCTACCATCATACTGTATTACAGGTAAAGTATTGGCATATAGGAGTGAAAACTTTTGGTGAAAATGTTTGTACAACAAATAACCATAAGCTTAAACCTATGTTCCATTAGCTCAGACCTATGTTCAGATTTAATAGGTATTAAAAGGATGATAGTTTGGACAAGATTTACTGCCATATAGAATTTGTAGAATGTTTCCTCAAACTACAAAAATGAAGTCTGGCCTGAATGTACACACCTTCCTATGAAAGGACACTATTATCAGCCATTATTTCATGCTTTCCAGTGTTATATTGTAATATATCAGATGATTATATTCCGATAAACCACTAGTGAAATTTATAAAATATAATTTTCACTGTAGCCGAACTATATCTGAATGCGGATGAAAAGAAAATCATAACTAAATGGAATAACGGGCAGAAATAAATGCCGTCATGCGTACATTTTGCTTCTTTAGGAAAAGAAAGTCGATGTCACCATACATCATGTTAAAAACGTAACAAAGTTAGAGGAATTTAACAGGACTATATTTCAAAATTGATGATGTGACGTCATGATGTGATGACGTAAAAAAGGAGAACGCGGCAAAATCAGTAAAAAATACTTAAAATCACTTAAAAATCATGAAATAAAAAGAAAATTTATTTGTTTTACATATAAGATTGAAATATATTTCATTCGTGAACACCAGCTATTATATTTTCACTTGTGGCTACGCCACTCGTGAAAATATTACATCTGGTGTTCACTCAGTGAAATTATATTTCAATCTTACATGCAAAACAAACAAATATCCTCTATTTAACTTCCTTAAAACATATAGCAAGTGATTTCTTATTTGTCTGTGGGCAAGTAGAAAAAATTCACATTTCCACACTCCTGGTCCAAGGCCATGAGATCTTTGGGCATAAATAGGCACAGATTTGACTCAAGGATAATGTAAGTCACAGCCTTGAATCAATATATCATGCTTATAAGTTATAATACTATAAATTCTATAATGTCAGTGAATTTTCTCCTATAAATAATGTTCTCTTCCTAGCATGGAATTTTCTTTAAAATCAAACACTTTTCCAAAAAATCTGAACATACATAAGATTTTTCACTTTCAAAATTTGCAATTTTAATGAAGATTTTTCCTAAAATCAAATAGCTAAGGCCTCTTCCCAATTAAGTGAGAAGACCCACCAAAATTGAAATGTTATCTTACTTTTATCTGTGTGTTTCAAATAGAATGGTCTGGAGTCTGACAAAATTTTAGAATTACATTATCAGTTTTTACTTAAAAGAATAACAATTTTATAGATTTGCAATGAAATTAGGAATTTTTCGTTCCCCGTGTCAAGGTAAAAATTTACTGGTCATATTTGAAAATAGGTCCAAGTTTCATAAGCTTTTTTAAAATGTATGCATTGTTCAATGACAAAATAGAAATTGATTTTACAGAGAAGAAATGTTTTTCCAATCGTATCATGACGTAGTAAGTTTATAATATTTCACGATTTTATTTAGTATAATTTACAAATATATGATGCTTAATTTGTTGCATTTTAAAAATGGGGCCGTTTATCGGCAAACATTCGGAACACGCAATCTATGTTTTTCAAAAGATATCGCTTGAAAAACATTAGTTTCTGAAATATTTATCTTTTTTTAAACAGGTTTAGAGATTTTAAAGAACATGATGTTGTAAGAATTTTTATTTTTGCTCTTGTATTTAATTTTCGCCCTTTTCTTTAACACTTACATAATTTGCGTATAGAAAACTAAACTGAGTTATATCGAGACATGTTTAATTGTACCAAGAAGGGTTCACATAGCGTGTTTCCAGATCATTCTATTTAAAAGACCCTGCTTTCATATTAGTAAAAAATTGATGTGCCAAAGCTAGATTCTGAGATATTTTTGTTCTGGGTCAGAATCTCGCTTTGGAGAGATATAGCCGATACACAAAGTAGCACAATACCTCATTGTGTAGTACATGTACAAAAAGTTGGAACAACTTTTATATATATTTCTTAATATCGAATTATTTCCTAGGTGTGTTTATTCCTCTTAACAATTTTATCTCATTTTATCTTTTTCCTTCCATCCCTGTCATTTATTCCCTTTCATTTATATGCATTTTCTTTATTATCTTGCATTATAAAAATGAATATAAAAGGGCACACCCTGTCATAAGTTTTACCTTTTGATCTCGATCGTCAATCCTCATTTTACTAATGAAAAAATACTTTAGAAAGTTCAAAACAGCCACACACAGCAGAATAGCTGCGATTGAAATAATTATACTAAGCATTTTTTCCTATTCCATCAGTTAAATAAGTAAAAGGAACTTTTTTACGTCATAAAAAATACAAATTTGATTTATTTTTCACGAAATTACGTCCGTCCGCCATTTTGAAGTCATGTGACTGAATTGATCATCTATTTGAAACGCTCATTAGATTTGGTGAGACACAGTAATCATATAAGTACAGACGTTTGAATCATGGCTGCCTCCATAGTGTGATCATTTAAATTATTTATTTATGGTAAATACATGGGTTAGATTCTCTTAAATTGAAGTGACAGTCAAACATTTCACAATATGTTTTAAAAGTCAAATATGTTATTCTAAATATTGAAGTTTTCTCTGTAATTTAAAGCAAATAGATAAAATTTTATTTTCATGAAACAACTGTTAAACACAGACACTTGGGGTGTGGAGCTTAAAACGCCTTTAATTTATAAAATCCAAATAAAATGTATATTTGTCAATCCCAACACATGTACTGATCATATAAAGCAAAAAAACTTAATGTAAGCCATTTTGAAAATTTTTTATATATCAACGACTAATATGAAAAAGGCAAAGCCTCAAAGCGAGCTCGATGTACTTTTTACGTGAAATACTATGAAATAATCGCTCATTTTTATTTCAAATGCAGTGACGAGTGCGTGTGACGTAACACGTACTGTGTTAAATATGGCTCCGCCCCTGTCGTGAAATGAATAACGAGTTTTGAAAACGTTTATAAAACTATGTTTATTTTATTTCACTCTACAGGGCTCGAGCTAGTGGGCGATTCGGGCGAAATAGTCGCCGAATTCCGTCTGACTTCGCCGACATCCTACATGAAAGCGAAGATGAAGTCGCCCTATTTTATTGATCCATTATTGAAATTACCAACAATAACAATAACTGTGAATAACATGTTGTGTGTGTTTGCTTTGTTTACCCTCGCCGCCGGAAAGGGGACTGTCATGCATCTCAATCAACGCGAAATGTCATTAATCCGTTTGTTTACCAACATGTCATAAAAGTCTAATTAACAGACGCTCGAGGAACAATTAGACTCCGCCCACGGCGAGATTACCGATACGTGCGAGAAACCAATCGTAATTCACGTTTTAATCGAGGCGACATTATTAAACCAATCATTAAATCGCTAACATACAACTACCCGTAACAATTATTTATGATGGTCGGATCAAACGTCAATTAAATTTTCACTATCGAATGATTGTCAGAATTAAGAGGACCGCTCGACATATAACTGTAACGGTAATTTTAAATGAAAGTTATGATAACCTTTTTTGTCAACGAGTTTAATTTGATAAAATTGACGGCGTATTACACTGTATTTATTACAAATGAAGTTAAATTAAAGATCGTTTCTTTCGTTATCTACTTTCATTTTCTTTACAACATAAGTGAATATGAATGTAATGTCCGGCGCAAGCTTTTTAATTGTAAATCAGAGGGAATAACTGTTAATCCACCCACGATATGATCCATGATAGGAATCAACTATGGCTTTTTTATCTTCATTTAATGCAATGGTTGCATTACATGATACTCATTCTTATTTCTTGTTTCAAACTACTTTTAAATTAAAATTGAATATTCTGTTGTAACACAGATCCAATTCATTTAATAAGATATGTACAGTGAGTCAACATAATTGCGATAACAAACATCGAATTCGATAAATGAATCTCCTCACTTCTCCCTAAAGTCTCTCCACTTCTCCCTAAAGCAGCTGGAGGGAGAAGTGACTTCTCCCTAAATTTTGAACCTAGCTAGAGCCCTGCTCTATAATTTTTCAAGCGAAATAAAGATTATTTAAAGTGAAATAAATGTAAAACTTAAAACGTTTGTGACATTAAAATAGCGTACTTGATTTGTTTGTTTTACACGCGTTGTTTGGCGCTACATTGTGACGTCACGTAAACAATACTTTAAACGTCTGTACAGCGTTAACGACTGAATAAAAGATATTGGTGTTCGGATTCATTTTCTTAGTTAGACCATTTTCTTTCATTCTAGATAGTTTTCACAACAAAATTCGACAAAAAAATTGTTTTTATTTATCAGATTTCAAACAAAATGGCGCCTTCGATATTCATTTTTTATACACAGCTTCCGTTATTCTGGTTCCCTGTCCAATTATGGTTCCCATAGACGTGCGCGGGTGACCAGTCTACATGCACATCCGTTTTCAGTCAGAATTCCTCAGTTTTTATCGTTATCTTTAAATTCGAAAGGTTGCGATGTGTCCAATTCGGTACTTTGGACGAAAGTTTTCAAAACCATCACTTAGCAGGTACTCGCATTACCGTAAAGCTCGCTTTGCGAGCAGGCCCTTCGGGCCAGCTCGTCGAGCTCGCTATTAATAATACACAAGATAAAAATGTTCGACGTAAAAAATCCGCAAACCTACCATCAACATCAACATGTATTTTATTCCATTTCCAATATTTTCACATAATCCTTTGGTCCATCGACACAGAAGATATAATTCTTCACGATGATGGTCAATATTAAACTTCAACGGTAATAAAAACAACGCAACAGCCGAAATAGCTGCGCTTTGAAGATGGAAACCAGTCGGCTATGGACGGAGCCATTCGGTAATATGTTGGTTCCCATAATTCAAAGCGTAGCGTATTTGTACACGGCAAAGCTGTGGAGTCACGTTTGAATTTGTCGAAAGATTTTGTAAATGGAGTAAAACGGCAATAATCTTGATGTTTATTTCGGCTGTTACGTTGTTTATAATATGAAAAAGGCAAAACCTCAAAGCGAGCTCGATTTTCTTTCACTGTAAGATAGTTTGAAATAATCGTTCATTATTTTACATTTTCCGTTTTAAAATTGTCATTCGCTATTTTATACACTGCTTCTGTTTATTCTGGTTCCCCCTTTTTATTATGGTTCCTTTATAAGTGCGCAGGACACCAGTCTACACTTCCGTTTTCAATCAGAGTACATCGGCTTTTATCGTTATCTTGTAATTCGAAAAGTTGCGATGTGTTCAATTAGGTATTTCGGATGAAAGTTTTCAAAACCATCACTTAACAGGTACTTGTGTTACCGTAAAGCTCGCTTTGCGAGCAGGCCCTTTGGGCCAGCTAGTCGAGCTAGCTATTACCATTGAAGCGGCCCTGGACTTTGACGTTCCTGTATTATGATACAGTAAACATGCGCTATACTGTATGGTGGTGTAAGTTATTCAGCATACCTGTTTATATATGGTGACAATGCTGCATCTGACAAAAAAACTGTTAAAAAAGCGGCTTATAAAGTTTTGGATGCACGGACGTTTCACAGCGGGGGACATTCACTGTTAAACATTCACTGTTAAATCACCGCATCTCCAAAAAGTCACCAGGTTTTATATCACAGAAATGAAATTTACCTTTCTGTTACTTAATAGATTTAAACTTTTCTAAGTAATTGTCTCGACACTTGTATGTTTAAAATAATGCTTAAAATCGCAAAGTTAAATAATGCAAACATTTGAAGAACTTGTAAAATTATTTCCATACAATTATTTCCTTACAAATATATAAATCAAAATCGCAACTAATGACCTAAAATCAGAATTTGTTGACAAGATTTAATTTCTCACCATCCTTCTAAATGAACTGATCGTGGAGTCAAGTCAAGTGATTGACAGGTTCTAGAGATCATTTGGTGCGCTAATATGAAATTTAGCAAAGCCTATGAATGGGGAAGTGGGTTAAAAAAATCATTCATTTTTTAAATTTGTCATTTGGTATTTCATGTACTACTTCAGTTTTTACTTGGCATACTCGAAGATTATTATTTATCTGAAAGGTTGCGATTGTCATTTATCGAAATACCCAGCCTGTTATCATTGAGTGACATTATAAATGGTGCCGCTTGACTAGAACTGATGCTGAAAATTTCATCGATAGGTATTGAATTCCAAGTGAGTGACATTATAAATGGTGCCGCTCGACTAGAACTGATGCTGAAAATTTCATCGATAGGTATTGAATTCCACATATTCTGTTTTTTAATTGATTTTTTAAAAATATACATGTGTAGTCTATAGCCGGGTAAGCCCGTATAAGTGTCAATTATCATTAAAGGGTAGTCTAAACTCTTATCAAGACTTCAAAAGACTTTGCCGACAGGCGTACATGACAAACTGCTAGGTAAATGTAGGCAGATTCATTTATGCAGACTGTTATTGACACACTTGCCCAGCAGGGTTACAATCTTTTAATTGACGGAGACAGGTCACACATGTATAGTTATCAATCAATTTGTGTCAACAATTCTTAGTGTGTATTACTAAACTGTCTGGGAAAATCTATTTGATATCAACGTCTTAGGATAATTAACATGCAAATATAATTGCAAAATATGGGAATTGTTTTTGCTGCAAATAAGTTCCAAATTTCTATTTTCTACCTGAAAAAATCTTTTCCGGGACGCCTCCGACATGGTCATTTATCTCTGTGTTAGAGTGCTGTGGTAAATGATCATATGCTTTCTGACTTTTCTTCCTGGTTGCAGTTCTAAGTTGTAGTAAGACTTATCAGTCAAGGTTTTTCTCCATATGAAATAGAGGCTGATATTGGGTGGCTTCCCAAATGAAAAAAAACTCTTTACTTTTCACATTTTTATCACCAAATTTCCCAAAATAAACATTCATAACTACATCATAAGGACTTTGCAGACAGCTAAACAACTGGATGTTCTAATGAAGATCAATGCAAATACACTTGTGGAAGAATTTATAAAAAATATTAACCAAATATTGACCTCTTTAAAACCTCAAGGATAAACAGCATCCTTTGTAATAAATGTGACACTGTAGATATGGGGAAGGCGAAGGATAGGCCTGCAAAGTGGGCCTGGGCTTTGACTTAGCCGGCTGTAGACTACACATGTAACAAAAAATATGTAAACTTGTGTACCTGTGAGTAAAATTTTCAGTGTCATATGTAGTTTGGCACTGCCATTTTTATTGTTACTCAGTGATAATCAGCGAGATGTATTCTGATAACAGAACAACTTTTTGGCTGAAATATAATTATCGAGGTGTTATGATTGAAATGAAAACGGGACATGAAATACCAAATGACACCTTTTAAACAAAAAATGTTAAAAAAAAAAAATGAGACAAAAAAATGTTTATGTGATTTCCCCATTTATAGGCTTCGTACTTCATGAATGAATTTAGTTATTGATATGTTCGTTTTGTTTATTGTACTTGATTTTGCAGAAATAAAAGGTAAGGGCAAAAAGAAACCTGACACTGAGTATAGGCATACTTTAAATTCCTTTTTCAAACAAAATAACCACAATATCCCCCACCCCAAAACAAAAAAGAAAAACAACAAAACTATAGACAAAAAATTTTATATTAATTTTCAGACTGTGAGCCTCTCTCACTATGACATCAATCATCAAATTACAACCATTGTCAGGTGCCCAGGATGAAGGGCCTCCATGCTATTTGCTCCAAGTAGATGAGTTCACATTTTTGCTGGATTGTGGATGGGATGAGGATTTCAGTTTACCAGTCATCAAGGAAATAAAAAGGTTTAAAAATTCTATGACTTCTGTGTGATTGTAATGCTGTCATTATTAATACAGAGTTTGAAAAAACTGCTAAATGACAGCAATTGTATTTTAGAAAATAAATGTAGCATTATTTGTTTCAATTTTTCAGAATGTTTTTTTATATGTTTAAGGCTGTGATTTTGTGACTGAATCCTTTGATTGTCATCACTTTGTTTTAATTCTAAATCCAGACATGGACATTATATTTCTTTATGATCTCACTTCTCTTTCTTCTTTATAGAAGTTGCATAGAGCCTCCCAGCTGATCGCTTGTGCATACAATAAATACACGCTGCCTTTGTCCTTAGTAAATGCTGTCAGACTTGAGGGATACATGTATTGTACAGTCATAACAGTAATGATGTATCTTTAAAACACTACTAAATACAACTCACTGAGAGCACGAAATATATGTAATATATATTAAGTATTTAATATAACATTATCATTTTTAGAAATCTTCATAAAGTCGATGCAGTGTTACTGACATATCCTGACCAGCTACATCTTGGAGCACTGCCGTACCTTGTTGGAAAATGTGGCCTCTCTTGTCCAGTTTATGCCACTGTCCCTGTATATAAGATGGGTCAAATGTTCATGTATGACTTGTACCAGGTAATTACTTTTTTGGGATAACAATATTACTATATTCTATGGTTCTTTTCCTCTTGGAACACATGTGCCTGATGTCTAACATACACCCCTTCTGTACCTCTTAAATTAAGAGTCTTAATATATGTTTATTAATGATTTAAGAAGGTATGAAGGGGATATTAGAAGTCAGACACCTGTGATTTAAAACACAATGTTTATAAAGTAAAACTGCATGAGAATACATAATTTCTTGGCTAGTTTTAGACATTGTTTTTAGAATAGCTCAATGGCAAAATAAGTTGGGTATTATTATTCATTATTATATAAATAATAGCCATTCCCTGTAAAATTGTCTTGAATTCAGTTATATCATAATGAAGGTGGTAGTAGTTGTCCAACAGGGGATTGACATGATACAAAAGGATGGTGGGTGGCTCACTGTCTTATTGCATGCGTTACATCTTGTTTATAGGTGGCATGGGGTTGAGGATGAGTGCTAAAAGCCCAATGCTGTGAATCTGAATCCTGTTGAAGAGGTTAAATGCTTTAATGTCTGAAGCTACATGTGATCTAAATTTGTTTGTTGTAGATTGACCCAGGGGGCTGTTTGCTTCTAAAATATTTACGTGTGGCTCTTATTAAAAAAGTGTTAGCTAAACACCCTTTTGGGTACAAATAAAAAAAGAAATATTATTAAAAAAAAGGTTAGCTACACACCCTTTTGCATGCAAATAAAAAATGAACAAAAAATTTCTTATAATTATGTATTATTAGCTTGTCTGTTATGATTGCCCAGTCATCCTTGTAGTTGTCTTTGTTGTTGTGCAAATACTTTAAATATATATGTCTATACTTTTAAGAATCTTAAGATAAATCTTCAGAACACAAAACTTGGCATATTTGCTTATTATGACAAGGCACAATTGTAATACAAGTGGCATTTTTCTGAAACTTATATATTTAGAGTTATGCCTCTTTTTATGCCCCCCTTCGCAGAAGAGGGGGTATATTGTTTTGCTAATGTCGGTCTGTCTGTCTGTCGGTCTGTCCGTCGGTCTGTCGGTCTGTCTGTCGGTAGACCACATGGTTTCCGCTGATTATCTTGAAAAGTATTTATCACAAAGTCTTCATATTTCACATAGTGATTGGTCATCACTAGTAGATGACCCCTATTGATTTTGGGGTCACTAGGTCAAAGGTCAAGGTCACAGGGGCCTTAAATGTCAAAATGGTTTCCGCTGATTATCTTGAAAAGTATGTATCACAAAGTCTTCATATTTCACACAGTGATTGGTCATAACTATTAGATGACCCCTATTGATTTTGGGGTCACTAGGTCAAAGGTCAAGGTCACAGGGGCCTTAAATGTCAAAATGGTTTCCACTGATTATCTTGAAAAGTATTTATCACAAAGTCTTCATATTTCACATATTGATTGGTCATCACTAGTAGATGACCCCTATTGATTTTGGGGTCACTAGGTCAAAGGTCAAGGTCACAAGGGCCTTAAATGTCAAAATGGTTTCCGCTGATTATCTTGAAAAGTATGTATCACAAAGTCTTCATATTCCACATAGTGATTGGTCATCACTAGTAGATGACCCCTATTGATTTTGGGGTCACTAGGTCAAAGGTCAAGGTCACAGGGACCTTAAAATGTCAAAATGGTATCCGCTGATTATCTTGAAAAGTATTCATCACAAAGTCTTCATATTTCACATAATGATTGGTCATAACTAGTAGATGACCCCTATCGATTTTGGGGTCACTAGGTCAAAGGTCAAGGTCACAGGGGCCTTAAATGTCAAAAGGGTTTCCGCTGATTATCTTGAAAAGTATTCATCACAAAGTCTTCATATTTCACCTAGTTATTGGTCATAAGAAGTAGATGATCTCTATTTATTTAGGGGTCATTAGGTCAAAGGTCAATGTCACATGGGCCTTAAATGTCAAAATGGTTTCCGTTGATTTTTCCATAATTGAACACTTCCATGTACCCATTTTTGGCAAGTTTATGTAATAAAATTATCAATTATGTGAGTCAATGGCTAGAAAGGGGGGGTATATGTGTCGTTCGACATTCTTGTTCTTATATAATTTTTGTGAAAATTGCTTGCTTGTTAAGTACATGTAGTTAATTCCAAAACTATAAAAGATCAACATGGAATCTTGGATACTTGCTCAGCTTGACAAAGTGAGTTGTAATTAAAGGAGCGTCTTTCTGAAAGCTGTGTATTTAGAGCTATTCTCCTTATTCACATTTTTTTGTCAAAATTTCTTAAGTAGAATAATTTAAAAACTATTAAAGGTATGAACATGAATTTTGGAGTACTTGCTTAGCATGACACGGTGAATTTGAAATAAAAGGGGCATTTTTTTCTGAAACCTGTATTTTTGAGTTATGCCTGATCTTCACATAGAGGTTTTGTCAAAATTGCTTATTAAGTAGAATAATTCCAAAACTATGAAAGGTATCAACATGAAACTAGAATGTTTTGATATGGCCCCAATTGTGGGCAAGTAAAACAGGCAGGAATTGGTACTTCTCTGAGGAGCTCTTTTTATACCCCCGCACAACAAAGTTGTAAGGGAGGTATACTGGAATCAGCTTGTCCAGCCGTCCGTCCGGCAGGCCGTCCGTCCGTCGGTTTTTTCTTGTCCGCCCAATAACTTAAGATTCCTTTGACCTACAGTCTTCATATTTGGCATGGAGGTTAGTCATGATTAGTAGATGACCCCTATTGATTTTGAGGTCACCAGGTCAAAGGTCAAGGTCACAGGGGCCTTCACTTCAAAAAGCTTGTCCGCCCAATAACTTAAGATTCCTTTGACCCACAGTCTTCATATTTGGCATGGAGGTAAGTCATGATTAGTAGATGACCCTATTGATTTTGAGGTCACCAGGTCAAAGGTCAAGGTCACAGGGCCTTCACTTCAAAAGCTTGTCCGCCCAATAACTTAAGATTCCTTTGACCCATAGTCTTCATATTTGGCATGGAGGTTAGTCATGATTAGTAGATGACCCTCATTGATTTTGAGGTCACCAGGTCAAAGGTCAAGGTCACAGGGGCCTTGACTTCAAAAAGCTTGTTCGCCCAATAACTTAAGATTCCTTTGACCCACAGTCTTCATATTTGGCATGGAGGTTAGTCATGATTAGTAGATGACCCCTATTGACTTTGAGGTCACCAGGTCAAAGGTCAAGGTAACAGGGGCCTTGACTTCAAAAAGCTTGTCCGCCCTATAACTTAAGATTCCTTTGACCCACAGTCTTCATATTTGGCATGGAGGTTAGTCATGATTAGCAGATGACCCCTATTGATTTTGAGGTCACTGGATCAAAGATCAAGGTCATAGGGACTTTGACTTCAAAAGGTTTGTCCACCCATTAACTTAAGATTCCTTTGACCCACAGTCTTCTTATTTGACATGGATGTTGATCATGACTATAAGGTGACCCCTATTGATTTTGGGGTCACTGGGTCAAGGTCACAGGGACTTTGACAAAAGCTTTTCTTCTCAATTGCTAAAGAATGTCATGTCCGCAATGTATTGATTTTGACATTTTCACATTTGAAGCATGTAGAATACATAACTTAGCAATGCACTGGCTTAGTAACCTCAGATTTGGCAGGGAGGTTTTCCTTGAGCTCTTAATGGCCACTGTTGATTGTGACAAAGTGGTATGCGGGGGTATTCACGCCATGATAGTGGCAGTTCTAGTTTATTTTGATAATATATTTTCTTCAAACTGTTTTCAGTTAACTTATCTTTCCTAGCACTTTTATGTAAACAATTGATTAAATCTCCATTTTTTTGCATAATTGATAATAGATTTTTTATCAAACTGTTAATAACTTCACTTTTTTCAGCAACTATTTCTTTACCTTTTTTTCAGCACCTGCAAATAATCGATCCCTTACCTTCCCATATTATATTACTGGGATCCTACATATTACTGTTTATTTGCTGTAACTTTTAGTTAAAACAATAAAAAAAGAATGGAATTTTACCTAAATAATTTTGGGTTCTTAATACAAGTAAACATTACTTTAACAAACATGAAATTAAAAATTTGACTGTAGAGATGTGTCTTTAAAGTAGGGCATTATAAGAGAGAAAAATCGTGTAGACAGCTCAATTTACCGGACATTGCGTTTCAAAATTTTTTGAAGTCGTGAATTAAAATTAATCTTGTAAAGAATCAGCATGAAATGACGACTATTTAAAGACAAGGTTAAGATATTGGAAAAAACTAGTACGTCTCTAAAACTAGACATGGCAGCTACGCTATTTACGAAGGGGCCAATATATGGGGTGTAATTGAAATTAACACTATTAACTCAATTAACGTATTGATTCTTCATGAATCTTAAACTTATGAAAGGATTTGATGTTCAAATGGAATTCTGTTCTTTGTCACACAGTTTCCTTTTGGTCATCATGTAGCATGCTACAAAAGCCATAAAATTTATTTGATTTCAATTTCATATAGAGTTTCCTCCCATGGGCATAACCCGTTTCCTTATATGGCTTTTAATTTGCATTTCTATGTAAACAACAACAATGAGATACTGTTTGAACTAAATTTAAATTTTTTCAATCAAAAAAATATGTTACGATTGTCTCCTGAAATAACACGATTGTCTCCTGAAATAACGGTGAGAAGAATTAAAAGTAAAACCTATCTAAATAACCCATTATAGGTCTCCATATTCGGGCCTGCACGGAACAGATTATTCCCCCGCATGACCAGGTCATGAAATAACTAGTAAACAAAAGGGCATGTTTGTATCAACAATATTTATCTGAGAGTGGTTTTGTTGTTATTTACTTTGAAATAGAAAGTGTGTGTACGATTCAGACTGTATGATTTTTTAATCAAAGCAAAAAAGAAAAAACTATTTGGCAGGAATAGCTTTTGTCCGGTAAACTGATTGTCTAAATATGATTGTAAACTAATATGTAGGACCCCAGTACACATGTACTTGATAATCAATTTCTGTTAACATTAAAAAAATTTCTTAACATTCATAGCAAATGAATGTATTCTTTTGATTTGTGAGTTGAGAGGGGACACAAACAATGTTTTCTGCGCTTAAGTGTTTCTTACTTTTCCCAAGAAAGTTCAATCAAACAATTACATAACTATTGCAAAATTATGAATTAAGACGTTTTAATTGGATAATTTATAATACCATATAAAACCGTCAGAGTAGAAATTGTGCACAATCATCATATAGTGACAATGCTCGACTACAAGTGCACTGATTGTGAATTTGATTCAGCTACTAAAATTACTAACAAGTTATGTGGATGAGACTTCGTAAAACAAGGTCCTGTGTACTGGTGATTTTTACACCTTACACAGTTGTTTCTCCTAAATTGAGTTGTTTCTTCTGCTCTAGATTCCAAAAAAATAAAGTGGCCTTCAGGTTTTTTGTTTTGTTTTAAAAAACAATTCTTTATGATTTCAAACTAAGTATTTCAGTAGTTTTATTTTGGAAAAGTGTGTCATATCACTGTTAAGGTGGTTAGAGATATTGAGGAGTTTCCTTATTTTTTATGTATTTTATCAATGGCAATATCATTTTCCGCTTTTAATTCTTTTGATTGACAATTATATGAAAGGATTTTATCTAAAAATAACATATTAAATCTTAAGAAAAGCTGAAGGCTGCTTTAAACTGACTACTGTCTTTTATAGGGAGTCATCCATATTGAGTTCTACAGTTGGTACTATGAAAATATTTTATATCACATAATGTCAGTGAGTGCATAAAAGATACCAAAATTTTAAAACAGTTTAAAGGGTATATAGCTATATCTTATGAAATATTTTCATAAAATTTATCAAAATAAAATTTTATTGGTTCCATAATCTTATGGTAGATTCTTGAAAGACTTGTAACATAGAATGTCTATTGTATGCAAGCAGAATAAACTGTTCTTGGACAAAATATTATTCTGCTATTCAAAATTATATATTTTTATATATTTAGCAATGATTTCATGTATGCCTAATCTGCTTTTAAGGCAATTCCTTCCCATATTTATCTTATACAAGCATTTTGGAAGTATATGTATTCTTTTGTAAAATTCAAACAATAATTTTTGCAGCAGATATACAGCTTTAAACAGCTAATAAGTGTCAGCAATGATAAATTGATAATGACAAGTTGATGCCACCAGTTGGGGGCCAGGTCAGCCTGCATATAATTATATAATATTATGTGTGCAATTGACTCAGCTAAATATCTTAAATGGACTTGTCCATCTTTCAATCTGGACAAGACCATTCATCACTTTTACAAAAAATATTTACTTAGTAAATAAGGAAACAATGTAGACCAATCTTGGTCTGCACTGGCTGCATGGGTTCATTCAGTTGTGGCCAGACTTCAGATAAATTTGAAGAAAACATTTTTATTAGTTTACATTGAATGTGGTTAAAGCTTTAGAAATTATTTATAGTGTAGATATACTGTTTAAAATACTTAAGATTTACAAAGGTTTTTTATGCTTATGCCAGCAACAGTGACTATACCTGTACTTTTGTTCCATTTTTGTTGCTTTTTTCTCTTGCTTTTTTGTTTATTAGTTATAGAGCTGAACATTGACTGTCAATTCCAGGTTAATAGAATTTTTTTAACAACATTATTTCATTTGTTTTCAGTCCCGAAACAATAGCGAAGATTTTGAATTGTTCACTTTGGATGATGTGGATGTAGCATTTGACAAGATTATTCAACTGAAATACTCTCAGACAGTGACCCTGACAGGTATGATTAAAACTTAAGATACCAAAATCATTACGTAAAACTAGTCAAGTTTGAAGTATCAAAATTATTAATAACCTTAAACCAGTCTTTTTCAATAAAAGTGACCTCTGTGGCCTAGTGGTTAAGGTCCCTTACTTTACATCACTTGCCACTCACTGCTTGAATCTTACTCTTTACTTTGGATTCTTTCATGTGAAGAAACTAATCAAACTACCTTATGAAAGGTAGATAGTTCTACTCAGGTGCTTGCTTGTGCGTACCTGGCCGAATGGTTAATGTCGTTGACTTCAAATACTTGCCCCTCACTGCTGTGGGTTTGAATCCCGACAGGGACTTTTGATTCTTTCATGTGAGGAAACTATCCAGCTAGCTTACAGAACATCAGTGGTTTTACTCAGTCGCCGTTTGTACCTGAAATAATGCATGGAAGGGCACCTGAAGTTTTTCTTCACCAGTAAAGCCGGGATGTCGCCAATTGACCTATATTGTGTCAGTGTGACGTACAACCCAATCAAACAAAAACAGCTTGCTTGTGCCTGAAATGTGCACAGAGGAGAATTTCAGGTCATTCTCTGACAGTTAAGAGTGAAAGTTGCCAAACAACAATTTAAGTACAACTGTAAACCATACAAAAAAGTTGTAAACACAGGAAGTTGTATTCAGGAAGTAAAATAAATCCAGATTTCTTGTCTGTGTTATTGTAAACAAATTTCATTATAAGTGCCAATAAAATATCATTTTTTCCAGTTGGAACTGGTACTATTCCCAAAAGTGGTAAAAAAGTCCCTTCTAAAACTTCATTAGTAATATGTTTCCCAGACTTAAGGTTGTTCCAGGTAATGCCAATTGTTTGCACTTTTGTAAACAGTATACACTTGTGTACAATATAGACAGATCTGTCAATTTGTAAATCAGTGTGTTCAGTATAAATCTTCAATTGTAGCAATAGATTGAAGATTTATAAGTATCGGGCATGTCCAAAAAATGCTGTCTTCACAAAATTTAGACAGTTTTGCATAATTTTGGTTTCAGATGTCAAAATAAATCACATGATATCTGAACTTGATCGTATTTAAGGGAATTTTCCTTCAGAATTACATGATATTGTTTTATACCAGGAAGTACACATTTCCTTTGAGTTTTATTCTAAGGACCTCTGAATGTAATAACAGGAAAATTCACAATTTGTCGTTTAGCTATTTGCCCACAAGCCAGAATGTTAGAGACCTTTTAATTTTGTATAATCAGGGTATTAACTTTATGGAGTTCAATGTAGACATGTATTTATAAAATATAAGATACAAATCTTCACATAATTTCTACAGATAAGTGACGAAAGATTTTAACAATCGAGTTTTTGAACATATTCACACCTTTAAGACGTTGGGCATTGTTTATCTTTACTCGCTAAGACTCCGCAACAATTATCAACAATTATGTATATGCAGGTGTCTTTACAGTAGGGTGAACGTGTCAGTTTACACGCAAAACGCACGTTACACGCTATACGAACGCACGTTACACGCTATACGAACGCACGTTATACGCACGCAAAACGAAACGAAATACGCAGACGCACGCAAAACGATATACGCTAAACAAAATACGCTAAACGATATACGCACGCTAAAACGCACGCAAAATGAAAACGTTTCTAAACCTTTATTAAAACATCGTAATCATTTTAAGTTTTTAACAACTTTAGCTACATGTAGAACGTTTAAGCGATAAATTTTGATCATCATATACATGTAGATCTATACTGTATGGTAGCTAGAAATATATTTTAAACGAGTTTATGTAAGAACTGAAATGCACTCAACCTAGCACCGAAATAAATTTTTGTCACAGCCTCAACAAATGATTTTTAGATATATTTATAAGCTATCATGCGCTAATATCGAAAGTAAAAAAAGTTAATGTAAGGTGTTCCTTTTTATGCGCAATCGGATAAAGAACTATCCCTTGCATTCACTACGTAATCTCTACGTAATAGTCCAAAATGGCCAACATTGAAAATTCATTGCAAATTTTTATAAATATACAGTGGTAAAAATTAAATTCAGATGGATTTATGTGGCAAATCTATATATTAAGTGAGGCTGCATCATAAACAATCGAAATATATAATCTTGAGTGTAAAATAAAGGAATTAACTATTTTGACAGAAGTCACGAAAACAGATAAAAAACACAGGATTCTACCACGGATAACATTGAGGGAAATGGATAACATTAAAGGAAAAGCTTCCAGAATCAAGAATGATTAAATTGCTGGCACAATACGTAGATTTAAGTTGATGTCCTGTATGTTCCATTAGGACACCACATATGATTTACTGTCTTGTCGCCAGTAAAAGCTTCTCAAAACGAAAGTGAAAGTAGAAATAATCAGCGAAGTCACTAAAAAAGGTAAAATTTCTAGGACATTACGATATATTAGTATAGATCTATATAAATATTAAGAACGCAATTTTATTTTAGGTCTGAAACTGTAATCAAGAGGAAAAAAATGAGGAAAATTATTGGATTTACAAAGACAGCACAACAGAAAATATTTTTCATATCACTTAAAATTGAAACTTATTGACCTGCACTTAATATGTAATATGAAATTAGGCAAAGCCTATGAATGGGGAAGTCGTTAAAAAATTCCTTTCTTTCCGTTGTAAAATTGTCATTCGGTATTACATGCACCGCTTCCCTTTTCACTCGGAACACTCGACGTTTATTATTTATCCGAAAAGTTGAGATTTGTTCCGTTATCGGAATACCCCGCCTTTTATCATTGAGTTACATTGTAAATGGTGGCCCCCAACTAGAACTGACACTGAAAAATTCATTGATAGGTATAGAATTCTATATATTTTTTAATTGTTTTTTATTTGATTTCCTTTTAAATATACACATGTAGTCTATAGCCGGGCAAGTCAAAGCCCGGACCCGCGGTTTTTGACTTCCCCCGTATTAATATGCTTTATCACACACCAGTGCCGATTTTGCCACTCAGTAAATATAGTATTGCACATCCATGCATATAATTTGACATGACCTCATTAGCGTTATAAAAACATTATGTAAAAATGGCTAAATGGTAGCGTTATACTATAGGCATATAAATGAAAAACTACTCTTATTTCACTTTAAACAGTCTTTATTTTGTGTATGTGATACAATATGGTGAACATTTCAGTTTACACGCAAAACGCATGTTGCGGAAAAAACGCATGCACATTACATGTATACGAACACACGTTACACGCACCCTTTATGAAACGAAATACGCAAACACATGCAAAACGAAATATGCTACACAATATATGCACGCTTAAACGCACGCAAAATAGAAATCGTTTCTAAACGTTAATAAAATATCCTTATCATGTAAATTTTTAACAACTTCTAAGCTAGATCGTTTAGTGATTTGATTAACCCTTTCACTGCCATAGGGACGGCTTAAGCCGTCCCTGTTATTTTTGGCCTATTTTCCATATGGACGGCTTTAGCCGTTTCTATAAAAATAATAGTTATAATAATAAATTAATATAATAATAAAAAAAATAATAAATATAAAGAAAATTATACCATCGACAATAATTATTATTATTCTAACAGATTTGGAAACATATATAATTATTATAATACTAATAACAAATAATAATAATTATATTAATTAATGATATAGTAATTTCTTAGAAAATCCTCTGGCAAATAGGTGAACAATAAAACAATAACCCTCTGGCAGGGAAAGGGTTAAATGATAGCTAGCCATTCATGTATTTTAAACGGGTTTATGTTAACTAACTTATCTTATGTCCCCTCATTAGTGAATAGTTCAGAGCTGTAAAATGAAAAAATCAGTTTTACAGTATCTTTTTTTGTGATTCCGTATACCATGCCAGTAATGGTCCCCTGACAGGGAAGGGAACACTTCCTTACTGATAGTGGATCTGAACACCTCTGTCTGCATTATAGGACATTTGCCATAGCTTTTTATGCTCCCCGAAAAATTTCGGGGGAGCATATAGTCGTCGGGTTGTCCGTCCGTCCGTCCGTCCGTCAGTCCGTACGTCCGTCCCGAATTCGTGTCCGGCCCATAACTTTGTTATTTGAAGTCGGATTTTAAAATTATTTTTCACAGAAATGATCACCATATTGAGACGACGTGTCGCGCGCAACATTTGGTTCGCTACCTTGAAGGTCAAGGTCACAGCATGACCTTGCAGCAAAAATCGTGTCCGGTCCATAACTTCATTATTTGAAGTTGGATTTTAAAAATATTTCACAGAAATGATCACCATATTGAGACGACGTGTCGCGCGCAACATTTGGGTCGCTACCTTGAAGGTCAAGGTCACAACATGACCTTGCAGCAAAATCGTGTCCGGTTCCATAACTTCATTATTTGAAGTCGGATTTTAAAAAATATTTCACAGAAATGATCACCATATTGAGACGACGTGTCGCGCGCAACATTTGGGTCGCTACCTTGAAGGTCAAGGTCACAGCATGACCTTGCAGCAAAAATCGTGTCCGGTCTATAACATTGTTATTTGAAGTTGGATTTTGAAAAATATTTCACAGAAATGATCACCATATTGAGACGACATGTCGCGCGCAACATTTGGGTCGCTTCCTTGAAGGTCAAGGTCACAGCATGACCTTGCAGCAAAATCGTGTCCGGCCCATAACTTCCCTATTTGAAGTCAGATTTTAAAAATATTTCACAGAAATGATCATCATATTAAGATGACGTGTCATGCACAACATTTAAGTTGCTACCTTGAAGGTCAAGGTCACAGCATGACCTTGCAGCAAAATCGTGTCCGGCCCATTACTTCCTTATTTGAAGTCAGATTTTTAAACTATTTCACAGAAATGATCACCATATAAAAATGGCGTGTCGCGCGCAACATTTGGCTCGCTACCTTGAAGGTCAAGGTCACAGCATGACCTTGCAGCAAAAATGTGTCCGGCCCATAACTTTGTTACTGGAAGTCG